AGTAAAATCCATCCTTTGGCTCTTTTTCTGGCAATATCCTATTGCCAGCAGGGGAAGTTCAGCTTAACAGTGGCAACAGCTGCAAAAACCTTCAGCTGGGTTCAGTAGCAGGAAGTTCTCGTGGCTTCAGTGGTGTCACTGAAACACCATGAGCCCTTAAATTACATTTTGGTCTGCAACAATCAGTTGGCAGAATAGAAAATGTACTTGACTCATATTGGAAAGAGACGCAGTTATAGCTGTATTTGCTCAAAAAAAGTAAAGTTTTAGGTGCTATTAATGTGTCTATGCATTCTTCCTGTCTGTACTTATAAACAGGAGCTTCTAAAAGATTTTATTTTGTTAGCTGTTGTTTATTTTAGTTTGATCAACTGGAGAAGAGGGATACATAAAATTACAACGCATCAAATATACCTCTCTCCTCATTTGTTCTGCTTTTCCTCTTTTCCCTCTTTCTTCTGCTTTTTCATCTTTTTTACTTTCTCATAATGAATTTCCTGGTAGCATTTAGATATATTTTACATTCATATTTAGTAAATATGAAAAAACCCACCCAGATTCTAAAATCATAGACAATGCCTTTTAACAGAAATAATGAATAAGCTGAATGTTACCAACAAAGTATTATACCTGTAAATATCTTTAATAATTGCTTGTGTGTAAATTACTCATTTGTATAGTTCAGTTTCAGATGAAGTAGAAAACTGCTGGCAAATGAAGATACGCAATCTCAAGACCAGCAACAATTTTCAATAACTTTAGTAAAATAAAATGTGTCTGTATTCTAATTTCAGTGCTCTGAGGTAGAAGAAGTAGTTTAAAAAAAAGCAACAAAGGATATGTCAACTTTAGATTGTGTAGTATACTTGTCCTCTAACAAATTACAGCAAAATAAAAGACTAAGGAGTTTATATAGGCATAAGTAAAAAAAAGATATACTGATGTAATTTAAGGTTTAACATGTTTTTATTTGGTTTTACCTGCAGTTTAGAGCAGAACTCAGTCTTTTCCAGTAAAGTCGTATTTGATCAGAAGTATGCAGTGGTGACAGTAGCCATTGATTCTTGCTGGGAACAAAAATGCTCAGGCAGAATATATGCTCATTAAAATTGTATTTTATCAGTCAGAGTAAGGCTGTCAGTGAATTTGCATACAGACTGCTCACAGTGTGGCAGAGGCTGATAGTTAGGCAGGGCACCTCCTGAGAAGCTGTGCTCTCCTCACTTGGAGTTCAGCTTGCACATACTGAATATGCTGAACCTCATCCTGGGAAGTGTGGGATCTCTCAAAGTGTGGTGACTTTCTCACTTTTTAGAGGCCTTCAAGAAGATATACTCCTATTAAATACTTTAGAAAGAGGATTAGCTTCTCTGAAATTTCCCTTTAATTTTGGAAACTTGGCTTGCATTATTTTGCAGTTTAAGTTCCTTCAAGTGGATATTTTGACTGCATGCAGACTGTAACACACATCCCTTCAGAAAGTACAGATCCTCTCTAACAGCACTTTCATTTTAAACCCTAAGGCGTGAGTTCTCTGAAATATTTTGCTTTTTAGAAAATCTCTATATTTTAAAAATATACTGGCATAGAGGGAAGGTCTCTCCCTATGCATTGTGTTGTTGCATTGTACATGAGTTTTATGTGTGTGCAAGTGGAGATATTCTGTACTGGTAGAAAGATGAAGTAATTTGCATTTTGATAGTACTCACTAGTGAGCATTACAATTGTCTGCTGGAGATGGCTTCCATAGCAAGTACTACTTTCAAGCAGTGAAATGAGATCTATAGCAAACAGTTCAGGAAGAGAATAAAAATAGGGATGAAAGGGTAATGGGTCTTGTCAATCACAGAGGAACAGATATAACATAGGAGATGAAAAGGATGACCACTGTGTTCCTGCAAGGAGTATGCCTTCACAGTTCCCCCGTGAGATACGTGTATTACTGTAGGTAGGGAATTTTAGGAAGGAAGATGCATGAATAGAAAAAAACAGATTTTTAATTTCTTGGTGTAGTCTTTGGAGAAAAAAAGGGTTAAATACTTTGCTTCAGATTGAAGCAGTTTGACATACTTCACTACATCAAACTGAATTGTCAGAGTATTAGAGATTAAGTAAATATTAGTTCATATCAATTTATAACAGTGCAACCACTGTAGCACATTTGGGATGAAAGGCTCAACCTTTGAATCTTAACATTTAAGCTTCTGGGTTCAGTTACTTCCGTGCAAAACAGTGGGTTTCCCCTGTAATTTAATTTTTTACCTGAATTTTGCTATTGCAACAGTGTTTAATGACAGAAGCAGTGCAGCCAAAACAATGCTAGGATGAGCCAGTGAACCACCCATTCTTGGGAAGAAGTAAAGTTACTCGATAACAAAACAAGATCAAAATGTTTATTTTGTCAAATTGGGTTCCATAGAGATAGACTAAAACCATAGAATGTGTATCTGATATTTAGATATAATATTTTATTTGCTTATCCTGATATCCAAAAATAACTTTGTCCAAACTTCTAGTAATAAAAATAATAATATCAGCATACTGTGTAGCAACAAGATGATGTAAATGTCACAACCTATAAAACATACCATGTATGTTCTGGTAATATAATTAAGTTTGGTTTTTTTTTTTGTTGTTTTTTTTTTTTTTAAATAAATTATTTTTTTCTGTGTGTTTATGAGCTGTGTTGAGCTTACACATAATGTGATTTAATTTATGCCATTTGATTAGTATTTTCGGAAAAGACCACGTGATCCACAGAAGTTTTTATGTTAAGTGGTCCCTTTTATTTCATTACTACCAGGTAAAGCTAGGGAGTAGTGTAGTGATGCTCTTATGCAGTGATGCTCTTACCCATCTTGATGCTGTACTTGGGGTTCACTGGAACCACAGATGTGGAATGAGATACTCAGCTGAAGTGATCTGTGTGTAGAGGTCTGTAGGAATAACTGTAGCACTGTGGTGAGCAACAGCAGTGCTGGAAACACCAATCCTCATGTTCTGAGTCAGTTCAGTCTCAGGCATCTCCCACTAATTTGTCAGTTGTTTGTTAAATTCTTTTTTTTCAGCTTTCTTCTCTGAAATCAGAGGAAGAAATAACAGATCATCTCATGCAAGTTCTTTAGGGCATGCTGTAGCAAAGAATCCATGAATAAAGTAGCATAAAAGAAATAATAATAGCGTGACTTAAGAGTTAAGTTAGAGATGCATTGAAAAAGAAGTGCAACAGTACAGTATTTCAGTTTCTTCTGGCAAAAAATATCCAAACCAAAGAACAGAGCCTTGGTGTGTAATTAGATTGCTGCCACATAAATGCATATTGATTGCTGCAGTTCATGCTGATTTCTTTAGAGAGTTTATTAAAATGTTGAGCAATGAACAAAGATGTGTTAAATGAAAATGCACATAAGATTTGGGGAGTATGTAAGAAATTGAGTTATCCTGATTTTAAAGGAATAGAAACAAAACTGCTCACTTAAACACAGGTTTTCAAAAGAGAGTTGACACACAAAGCTGCCCACTGCACATTCTAAGGACTGTAATGAGCACTGGTAATGTATTTCCAGCAACGTAGTAGGAAGATATGAGAAAGGTCCTAATACCCCTTTATGAAAGGTAGAGACAGAGACAAACACTTACATGATAATGAAAGATAACACTAAAACTGTAGTAAAATCGCAACAGGAGCAACCATCTCTGGGGAATCTAGAAGTCCCTACTGTGCAAATCCTTGCTCTCCCAAGTGTTTCATGACATACAGCAGCACCCTGCCTTCTCAAATAGAAGCAGCAGCTGCTCCACACAAATCCCAGATCCTCTGTTTGTAGCAGCAGAGACATGTCTAAGACTGTGCTTATTAATGTCTTTTTCTTGTGATGTTACAGTACTAATTCAAATTTAACAAAGCCCAGGAGGTTCTGTTTTCTCAAAATTCTCAGTTAGAAATCATTATCACAAATACTTGCTATCTGAAAAATTGTCTTCTACTTATCTGTTATTCACATTGTGCTTAATATAATTATTTCCTTACCAAGTGAAGATCTACAGGTGTGTGAGCTAAGCACAATAGTTCTTGAGACCAACAGTGAGTATCCTTTTTTCTCTTGCCAGTCTTCTGACTGGATTCCAAAGAACAGTATCCCTCAATCTGAGATTATAAAGACTCTGGGACACTTTTTTGGTACTCAGTGGATAAAAAGTTTCAGCCATATATTATTCACTGAGTACTCAAAATGCACAGCTAGACAGAGTAATAAAATTGGGTGGGCCAGGGTGGCAGGAGCAGGTACTGTTATATCATGAATTTATGTTTGCAGAGCACTTTGCAGACAAGCTCCAGCTCATCTCAGCTGAGCTGTGTATCACCTTGGGTGTGCTCACACAATTTGCCTATCTCAAAGAATGCCTGGAGCTGCAGACCAACGTCTTGGAAATATGGACAACCCCAGACAGAGCTTCCTCACATTCTCCTGCAAAATACAGTACAGATCAGCTTGAAGTGAATTCTTTTTGAAACCTCACAAAGTTTTGTAGATGACAAAGCATGTGCATTTGCAGTGCAAGAGTAAAGAAGCTAGATCTTGAGGCAAGACAGGAGTTGAGAAACAGCTAAAATGACAGGACAGTAGAGTGGATCACTGTGATTATTATAGCTTGTTATTGCAGATTATAATAGAGACACACAGCAGGCTGTTTTCTTACACTTCTTCTCCATAAGGCAGGAGGGAGTGGATTATGTGCCACTTAACAGTGCCACATCCTTGTGTCAACCAGCAGCTGTAGGAAATAAATCTGTAATTTTTGAATCTTCATCAGTGTGCTTCTGCTGTTCTTCTGTGCTAAATTTATTCTCTATCTGTATTAATCTAATCTACTCATATCATGACCATATGAGTCTTCCTATAAATCCTAGGAATAACAGGTTTAAAACTAGTAAAATTCCCTTTCAAAAATGATTGTTTTTTCTCCTTCTTTTCAAGTGTTTTTCTGAGAATAGGCCCTAAACTCTGATACCCATGGATGCTGCAGAATTCCGCAGGAGAGGGAAGGAGATGGTGGACTATGTTGCAGATTACCTGGAGAAGATAGAGAAACGACAGGTATTCCCAGATGTGGAACCAGGATACCTACGGCCCCTCATCGCAGACTGTGCACCTCAGGATCCTGAGAGCTTTGAGGATGTCTTTAAAGACATTGAGAAGATCATTATGCCAGGGGTAAGAAAAATGGAACTGTAGTGCAATGTTCAATACTGCATTTAGGTTTTCAAACACCTTAAAGAAAGTGTGGGTTTACCAACATAAGTACCCACACTGATTAACTTTTAGAAGGCAGGAGTCAGCTTTGCATGTTGAATGTGATCTAACTAATGTTTTCCATTCTTCCTAGAAATAATCAAATCATTCTTTTGCTTCATGCATGTTTTACTTTTGAAAATAATTCCCTTTCCTCCCTTGAACTGTTCAAGACAAAACTTCAGAACTTTCAATTTCATGTGATATTTTTACTACTTTCATAGCAAAGTAAATATTTTACAAAATAGTATTTTTATTAGTCTGCTGTGCCCAAAGTGTGTCTTCAAGCTGATCTTTAAATGTTAAAATTCTCTTAGGAGACTTCTTTTTATTAGAGAGTTGACTAGAAAGGATTCTTCCCAATACTTGTTCTGTTGACATAGTCTCTTAAATGTCAACTGCTTCTCGTAACTTCTAAGGCAGACGACCACTGCCTAAATAGTAGTCCTTGAATAGATCAGATTTGGACAGACAATGCAGAACACTTGGCAAAGCATCTGGCATTTTTTCAGGCCTCAAATTTTCTTGTTTTTCCACTCATGGAACACCTTTTTTATTTTAAATATGTACTTGTCTCCTTAGGCCTTTAAGTAGCTTGAAGAGAACTGAATTAGTAGATGTTAATGAGGAATCCCTCCTTTGGATCTCTTCAATAAACACTTTGGATTTCTTCTCTAGATGCGGCTAGGTTGTGACGGGACTGGACATCACAATCGAAATGGCTTTAGTCAGTGTACTGTGATGCCAATTCCTTTTCATTGACCAATGCAAATATTTGATATACAATATAATTTTATCTTGTTTTCCTTGGAGCCAGCCTACTGTACTTTAACAGGCAAAAGCTCCAATGAAGTCAGTCGAAACCTCTGCACTCTTTTCAAGATTTTAGGATGAAATCTTAAATCCAAGGGAATTAAATCAATGCAGATTAGATAAGAGAATTATGCCCAACGCATGCAAATACTTTAATTGCTTCTCATAGATACAATTGCCCTTTCTTTTTCGTTGGAGGAAAATAGTAATGTCTGTGAAGTAGAAGAGAAAACACTTTGAACACCTGAGAACTTTCAGTAAAATAATAATGCATTAAAAAATAAGAGATTAATCACTAGAGAGTAGAAAGTGAGACACTGAATTCCAATTATGTCATCAACATGTCATGTTCTCTCTTAACTAAATCGACTTTTTCTTGATATTTATGTGCCCTGCAAATAAATTTACAAAGTGATACATTCTGAAGAAAAATCATTGTATCCTAAATTTTTCCACTGGTGTGAAATGTTAGAGACACAAAGAGCACAATATAAATCCCAGTTCTTATAGTAATGGGCACAGAACCACGAGGTTCTGTATAGTAGAGATTGGTTGTATCTTGAGATCATTTGATCCATCTCCTCTGCTCAAAGTTGAGTCAGCTAGAGCAGGTTGTTCAGGACTATGTCCAGCTGGTCACTGAATATCTCCAAGGATGAACTCTGCTGTCCTGTTCCAAAGTTGGATCACCCTAACAGTAAAAAAGCTTATTCTTATGTTTAAGTGGAATTTTCTCTATTTCAGTTTCTGCACATTTCTTGTTGTCTTGTCACTGAGTACATCTGAGAAGAATCTGGCTTCATCTTCTTTACATCTTTCCATGAGGTGTTTATACACATTAACAAGGTACCCCCTGAGCTTCCTGCAGGCTGAACAACCCCAGTTCTTTCAGATGCTTGTCACATGACAGATAGAGCAATTAATCATCTCCATGGTCTTTCACTGGAATCACTCCAGTATGTCTTTGTTCCTAGTACTGGAAAACCCAGAACTGGATGTAGCATTCCAGGTGTGGCCTTTCCAGTGCTGCATAGAAGGGAAAGATCAACTCTTTTGACCTTCTGGCAGCAGTTTTGTTACCATGGCCCAGAATGCTCTTGGGTCACAGTGTTTGCTGCCAGGGTGCATTGCTGCCTCATGTTCAGCTTGGCCAGCAGGTCCATTTCTTCTGAGCTGCTTGCCAGAAGCTGATCCTTGCTCTGTATGGGGCAGGGCGTTATTTCTCACCAGGTACAGGCTTTTGCATTTCTTTAGTCAATTTCATGAGATTCCTGTTGGCCCATTTCTGCAGAGAGTTAAAGTCCCTTGGAATTGCAGCATGACCACACAGTGTATCAAACACTCCTCCCAGTTTTATATCATCTGTAACATTGCTGAGGGTGCACTCTATCCCATCATCAAGGTATTTAATGAAGTACTGGCCTTTCCCCTTCATTCTCCATGTGATCTAGCCTTGAACAGTTCCAGGGATGGAGCACTCACAACCTGCCTGGGCAGTTGTTTCAGTGCCTCACCACCCTCACAGTAAAGAAATATTTTTTCAAACATATAATCTAAACCTACTCTCCATTTAAAATCATTCCTTCTTGTCCTATCACTACATGCCCTTGCAAAATGTCTCTCTCCATCTTTCTTGTAGGCTCCCTTTAGGTACTGGAAGGCCACAGTTAGATCACGCTAAAGCCTTCTCTTTTCCAGGCTTAGCAATCCTAATTCTCTCAGCCTGTTCTCACAGGAGAGGTGCTCCATTCTTCTGATCATCTTGATATCCGCCCTCTGGACTCATTCCAGTAGGTCAGTGTCCTCCCTTGTGCTGGGGATCCTAGAGCTGCACACAGCAGTCGAGGTGGGGTCTCACCAGAATGGAGGAGAGGTGCAGAATCCCCTCCTTTCCCCTGCTGCCCACACTGCTTTGAATGCAGTCCAGGGCACTGCCTTCACCGCTTCTTTCCTGTTGGTGAATGTGCAGTCCCACAGCATGTCCCACATTTTTGTCAGTTCCTCCACAGTTTCCTGTGGTAGGTAATTATCAGTGCACTCCAGAACCCTCCAGACTGTGTCCTGCTGTGCTGTCTGTCCAGCAGATGTGAGGACTATGACCTATGAACATGAGGTTTCTTCCAGATGTCTGAATGCTGCACTCATGTGCTTCTGATCAGGTGGTCTGTAGCAGACACACACCCCCAAATGTTTCCCATTCCTATATCTTCACCAGTCCTGACTCACAAGTTCTTGTCTGGCTCATTGTCCATTCTCAGGCAGAGGCCAGTGCATTCCTGCTTTTCTCTTACATAAAGGACTATCCTCTGCCTCGCCTTCCTGGTCTGACTTCCTGAGGAGCCTGTCCTCATCTGCTGCATGCAGCACTTCAGTCATGCGAGCAATCCCACAGCATCTCTGTGATCCCAGTGAAATCACAGCCCTGTACCTGCACACAGCCTTCTGTTTCCTTCTGTTTGTTCCCCATGTGTTGTGCCACAGCTTACGGGTGCTTCAGAGAGGCACCCGTTTGTCTTGATTCCCCAGAAAAAATGTGAGAACTCCTCTGTTCTGGCCCTGCCCTAATGCTGACCTCTCAGCACTTCCCAATTTATGTAGATATACTGGGGATTGGTCTGCTTTAGCCTTAGCTTCTTTCTGAGTTCTCTCATGTCCATGTTATCCTTCCCCCTTTCCTTGCCAGCTTGGTCCATCTTCTTCCCTTGATTATGGGTTTTCCTCTCAGTCCTTCATCATTCATAATTTAAAGTTCTTCCTTACCAGGTTATCCAGCCAGTCTGCAAAGATGTTTTTGCTCTAATTGTTCTGGTTATATTTTCCCTTAATCTTCTTCCCATGTTTTTCCTGACAAGAATAACATTTAAAAGTACATCTAGTGTTTTTATCTATAGGATTTAGCCACTGTTTGACCCGGGAATGTCTTATATCCATTTTATAAATGAAGAACTTCACAAAGAGCTTTTTCAGAAAGAATAAGTAATATGACATATCATTAACCCTTGTTTTGCCTGTAAGCTATTGGTGGCTCATAAGTGATTCTTGTTTCATTCATGCTGACATCTTTACTGTGTTAGTTTTTTCAGATACTCGCTACTTACTGTATGACTAAAAGTGTGAAAATGGTGTTCGTTCAGAAGGGCAGGGATCAATTGTGTAAAGTGATAATAATGCAGTATCTATTGCTGTCTTCACCCTGTAGGAGAAAAGCGTTCATGAGTAGTGAAACATCTTTAATTGTGAAACGTAAGGTAGACCTTCAAAGGGCAGTCCACCCAATGATAATGACAATAATGGCACTAGGTTCCTGATTCTAACACAGAGACAGAGGGAATAACTGCAGAACTCTGATCTCCACAGCAGGCAGACAGTAGGAAAGGTTCTGCATGTAAACATGTCAGTCTCCTTTCACTTTCAGATTTGTTTTGTTGTCCTTCTTTTTTAGAGCCAAAAATGATCAAGTAGTTGTAACTGCAAACTCAAGATGCTAATTTTCCTCCCATTGGATCCATTAATCTATGAACTTTCAGCTGAAGTGCCTGTCCTTAGTGTGTGGTAAAGGAAGACTATTTCTTAGACTAAGCAAGCCAGAGAAAGACATCCTTAGAAGAAATCTTGGAAATAGAATGTCTCTGAGAAGCACTAGAGTGGTAATTAGAGTGAATCCAAGACGTTTGCATCAGCAGAGGGCAAAAAACCCAGGCATCAATTATGTCAGGCTCTTTGCAATATCTGACTAAGTGTATCTGTTCCAACATGGTGAAAAAAAATAATTTTACAGCTGCTTCAAGGGACGGGGGAAGGGGAGGCAGGAGGAAGAAGCACAGCTGCACTTGCCCCAGGGCTTTTAGCTTTTTCGATTTGTGTGAGTGGTGCAACTGGAATCTGCTGTGTTTCATCAAGCAAATGGCTCCCAGCAAGCAGTCAGTTTAACTTGATTAACCTAAGATGAATGTCACAAGTCTTACAGATCACAGAGGATTAGAGCTGGGGAGATGAACAGTGGCAGCTCTGGCTCATTACAGGCATCAGTGAAAGTTTGTGCCTGTGGATCTTATCGGGGACCACTGCTTCTTGAATATTTTATTGTTTTCCCTTGGAGAACCACGTCCTATCCAGGTTTTTTTTTCTGATTTGTGAAGGAAGACATTTGCCACAAGAGCTCTAAAACTTTGTTACAGCAAAGAAGGATATCCTGACCAAATATGAGATACAGCTGAAAAGATTCACAGTGGATTGTCTTTGGATAAGTGATTTGACAGGTTTCAGCCTAGTGACCATTAAAAATTAAATCTTGAACATAGCAGGTACAGGGCTAGTTTAGAGAGTGGAAAATTGTCATGGATAGAAGATGTTTTCCTGTGAAAGAGGTGGGCACATTTGAAATTGGTACACTGCAGCAGGGAAAGTGATACCTGATTCACTCTGTCAAGAGTTTAGACAGTTTCCCCTTAGCATGGATCACATCCCTTAAAGAAGAGCTGGTTGTTGGCATGAGGAAGGTTAGAAGATGAAAGAAACAGATTATTTGCTGCATGCAGAACAGTGTGGTATAGCAATTCCTGAGTTAGCTCTAGAACCAGAAACCTTATCACAGACTGGGAGAGAGGAGTGTAAATGCTAAAATTCATCAGAGAATGAATGTGGAACAAAACAGCACAGAAACACTGAACTCAGGTAAGAGATAATGTATGGTCATACTATCCTCCAGCTGTAATAGAAGAATTCCAGTACTAAAAAGGAAACAAAATGATGTAAGAAAAGGCTAGCCTTTAATAACTCGGCAGCCTCTAGACTTCCAGCTATGAAAAAAATCTTACATAGATCTGCTGAATTCTTGCTTACAGCTGTGGAAGCACTTTTTTCAAAAACTTGCCTTTTACCTTGAATGTAAAAGCTATTTTTGCCAAATGTATCACATCACATTATTTCCACTGAACACTGCTGTGTGGCTGTGCATTTCCTGCTTTCAAATTTTATTAGATTGGAGTTGTGGAGCACTATCAAGTATCTCACAGATCCTTAAAACTGCTTGGATGTTATATAAGAGAATTCTAAACATTGCTTTGGCAAGACAGTTGACTACCATTTATGCAGTTACCATGTTGTTCTCTCATATTAGTTCATACAAAGTGGAATTGTATGTAAATCAAAAATTGTTAAAGAGAGATGAGAGTTTAATTTTCTACAGAAGGTATTATATACTGGGATGGGTTGTTTCATTTTGTGGTGAGGAGCTGTTTGGTCAGATTCACTGCCTGAGAATTAACAAGCAACATGAGAGTGTGGACAAGAGAGTTCTGTGGACTTCCGCTGCACTGAAGACACTCTTCCTAAGTCTGTTGCATGACAGAGATGGAAAACCAAAATACCAGAGTCCCTGGCAGTAGAGACTCAAGAGCAGTGAGCCTGAGCTTGCACAGAAGCTCAGGCTGCCATGACCCCACAATTCTTGTCTTCTAGGAAGGAAAATGAGAGCTCTGATTTTGGCGCTGTTGGGGGGTTGGGGTAAGAACTTATTTTTAGTTTTGAGTAAAAGCTGGCTGAAAAAATTACAAAAAAAAAAACAAGGTAAGTTTTTCTAAAAAATGGAATCCTGTGTTACAGCCAGCTAGTCAAGAACTGTTGGCTTGTCACAACCTCTAACCTTTTTTGATTTTGTGACAAATTGTTTCTGCTTCCTGTATTAGTTAAAAATAACTATTTTCCACTTAATACAGGTGACTCACTGGCACAGTCCGTACTTTTTTGCCTACTTCCCTGCAGCCTCTTCCTTCCCAGCTCTTCTTGCAGATATGTTGTGTGGTGGAATAGGATGTGTGGGCTTCTCTTGGGTGAGTTTACTCTGGTGTGGTAATGGTGCTTCACTTTGCCAGGATTTTAAGCATTTCAGTAACATTCTACAATGAAATTATTGATTATTAGCAGTGAAGTCACAGGAGTATTTTTGTAGGCAAATTTCCTTGATGAATTAAGGGTTTTCACATAGACACCCTGGATGATTCCAGGAATAAAAGGCTATTTCCTCATACAAATTTTGCTCTTGAAAAATCACCAACATTTAGAGCTAGTGATAGAAATGCAAACATACTGGTAATCCAGTAATAAGTGTGGCTATAGTTTGTTATTGTTGCCATTGTTGTTATTTCTCTTTTCACCTGATGAATGGAAAATTTTCTTACAACCTCCACATTCATATGAGGTATACTCTTCTTAAAAGTGGCTGGTATTTGATGTTGAGAAAAAATATGCAAGATGAAAATCCTAGCTTTGACATTTGATAGTCATGGTTCTATGTAAGGCCTAGTTTGATATTTTTTAGTAAGTGTTGGAAACTGTATGCACAAAATGGTCTTCAGGTCCCTAACTTGGCTGGTGACATTAGTCATCTAGTCTCTATAGCAAAAGAAAGAGACTAAGAGAGAGAATTATTCTTGCTCTAGTTGATCTGATTTCTCTTAATGCTCTAGTGAGATTATTCCTCTGCTTTGTTTTTCAACACAGGCTGCAAGTCCAGCTTGCACAGAGCTGGAGACTGTCATGCTGGATTGGCTAGGGAAGATGGTTAATTTGCCTGAGGAGTTTTTAGCTGGGAAGGATGGCCAAGGTGGAGGAGTCATTCAGGTAAGAGGGGACACCAAAAAAGAATACAGATTGAGTTCATGAAATAATGATTTTGTAAAATCTTTATACTAGGACACTAATGAAGGAATTTTTTTTTTTTTGCTGCCACATGGGTTCCTTTCAAATTTACAGAAGCACTGATTGTCTGTGAGAATGTTTATAGGTAGGCAGGATCATCCATGAAAGTATTGCTTTTGTTTTTTATATCAGCTGATTTCTAAAATACTTCTCAGTGAGGAATTGTTAGTAGTTCAATTTAAAATTCAGGCTTAAAATTCAAATCAGAATTGTAGGATGGAGAATTTAACTTGTTACTCAGTGAACTGAGCTCATACTTATCAAAAATATGCAGCAATGTTTCATAGCTGAGGTTAGAAGTCTACCTTTTATATGTGCAATTATTTCAGTTAGTTTCCACAGAACCTTGGAGATAAACTTTGATTAATAGAAATAGCAGAATGTAGTAAAAATTTTATCAATTTCTGCCAAAGAGGTTGAAATTTCTTTAAGTTTTTCTTATATAACAAAAGGAAATATCAGAATATTATAATAAAATGAAGAGCTGTTTAAAATGTGAACCTAAGCAGTTCTACCAATAGATAATACAATTTTTAAACTACACTGCATATCCAAACTAGAAAAAAGTCCCCAAACTTTTACATTGACTGCTGAATGAAACTTAAAATGTCTGAGCAGATAACCTGAACAATAATGAATATATCATGGGCAATCTTTCATGCATAATAGAGCTATGCTGTTTGTCAGCCATGGCTCCACTAGCACGTGATCATTCTGCAAATGCAACTCTGGTCACAGCTGTTATTCTATCTAAAATAGATTGCTATGAAGAAGATTGAAATGTAAATAATTGTTCTGTGCTCCTGTGATAATCTCTGAAGTCTGGTCATTGAAGGCCAGGGCACAATCCATTTTATCCAAAGACAGACTTCCAATATACATCTGATTTAAATGCTAGAACTGGGGGCTTCTTTCTTTGATCTCAGCTGCAAATGCCTATAGTGTGTTCCAATGAATTCTTCCCAACACCTACCCAGGAAAGAATGAATTTAATCCAAATGCTCTCATTGTCCTAGATGGACCTGTACCTACACCAGTGTATTTCCAGTATACATATAGTTCTTTACTCATCTGCTTGCTCTGTTAGTATCTTTATCATGAGGATTGCTAGGGAGAGCTTTATGTTCAAGAAATCAAACTTCCCTCATGCATCGTAGCAGCATCTATTTTGTACCAGTTAAAGCAAGCAATTATGCCTGATTGTTATCAGCAGGAAATATTTCCCCCCCCAGGCTGACAGTGCTGGATTGCCCATAATTTTCATCAGAAACCGGTCATTTCAGAATCGAAAGTGGGCTCTCTGTTCCAGCTTATGATGCAGTCATTTGGGCTGCAGATTTTGTCTTGCTCTTGAAACAATAATGATCCAAGCAAGAGAGCGTGAGGCAAAGACAATGTGTGTGAAAGTGCCAGTCATTCTGTTCCTAAATGCCAAGTAATTATTGTGCTATTGGGTAAAACTGAGCCTGTGAAAATTGCCTCTTAATTACATTTGAAAGTCTATGTCAATATGAAGCACTTTGTTGTGTGCAGGATGACACTTCAAAATGGTAAAAGATGAAAGAAAATTTCAGTTCAGAGCTCTGGTGGACATGAACATCAGCTCTTGCTGATATTTCCTCTGCCTCTTGAGCCTGCTTGCCATGGCAACCTTTGTTTGCCTGTGGTAAAAGCAAAGGTATCATCATCCTTCACTTAATGCAGAATACAGCATTCAAGAGGAGAAAAAACAGCTTTCAAAAATAAGCGAGAAAGCAACTTTCTTCCTGAAGTTTGTAACCTGCTGTTCATTCTAGATAAATTGCTGGAAAGTGTACCTGCTTTGAATTTTAAAGAGTTTTCTTGCTCTGCAAAGAAAAAGTATTTTAGGGGTGAGACAAAATTATCTTTGGCCTGGCAAAGAACACTGCTGATTTATCTTACTTGTCAGTTAGCCAAGTAGTTCAAGAACCAAGGCGGTTTTTTTCCCTCAAAAATATTTAGCACAAAACTTTGGTGCCAAGTGTATAGAAGAGCATTGCAAACCAAGCAATGCAAGCAGTGGGAAAAGCTTCAGTGTAAAAAAGGTGACTCAGTATGAAAAATGTGATTTATGGAAACTGAGGCAAGGGGGAAAATCCTGTGTCTATTGTGAGACATCCAAAAGCATTTCCAGGTTGCTGGATTCAGGTACCTTTAGGCTATGTCCCCACTGTATATCAGGAGGCAAAATTCAGCTGGGAAATATGCCCTTTTCTTTTCATCCTTGTTTCTGTAAAAGGAAATTCATACAAGAATTGTTGTGTACATTGACTACGCACCAGCATAGATGAAGAGCCAGGATATCTGGGTGCACTTCTTAGGAAGTGGAGGCTATTCTTCAGCCTAAGTCATTTGCCCACCCAGCCTGGTGATCACCAGAATAGTGGGAGCCTAAATTTCCAGATATCAAATTAATGCCTTAGCTTTCATAATTTCTTACAGCCATTTTCTTTTATGTATTAATGCCCATTTTTCTAATATGTGTACTCCATTCATATCCTGGAAATGCACCTACAGTGTAAATGATTATTTTATTTCAGCTATTTGGACTTTTTAGACAGAAAAAGTAGGAAGATTTCTCCATGTTCTGATATTGTGATGAGAGCTCTGTCTTGCTACAGACCATACACAGAATAACATTATTTGAGGAGATGGCCAAACTATGTTTTCTATAATTAAAAGACCAAATTTCTTTTGCCCCTTGCCTCCACATGGAAGTTCTACCTTACTTGATCAAAAGGAGTAATTGTATCCTAATTCCATACTGTATCTGTAATAATTCCCTCAGTTGCTGAAATACTGTATGCAGCAGCAGCAGGTATAAAAAATGCACAAAAAATGCAAACTAGTGCACAAAACTCTCCAGCTTGTGTTAATGCCTTGGGGTCTACATTCCTCAAATCTCACACTACCAGAAAGGCAGATAAAATGTATTAATCATTGGCAATGCATTCAATGAGTGTTCCGGGACTATCCTTTTCCCTGATTACTCCGTTGAATTTCAGCTGGATTTCATTCATTCACTGTTGAGATGTTGACATGTGTAGAAGGGAGTTTGGTCTCATATGAGTAGCTCAGCCAACTTCAGTGTAGGAGAATGATCCCAGTGAGTTCAGACTTTCTCACATATGAAATCTGTCAGATCAGGCTCACCTTCAGAGAAATAAAACTGCTTCCCAAATATTGAAACGTTTGTGTAATTAGTAAGTATACTCAAGTCTTCAACAGAGGGAGGAGAGAATTTTGGTACAGGACAAGAAACATCACTCCAAAATTAATTTGTTGACACTGGGGTTATTTCTGAGACAGAGTTACTAAAATAAGTGACTGTATTCAGAGCACTGTTATGATTCACATGATGTTTAATCAACTTTGAAAGTGTCTAAAAACTTCATCTTGCTTACAGACTCCCCAGTACATTGAAACTTATGAGTGTGTATTTACAAACTGCTCCTTATAGTTTAAAAGAGTAGTTTAGGGCATGTTTCAGGTGCATTTTCTAGATGAAAACTGTATAAAGAATTTCTGTGAAATCTACTGATAAATTGATACAAAAAATTATTTCTCTTATCACAGTGTATCCAAGACACATTTTAAACTGATGTTTTGTGAGTCAAAGTGCAATTTAGAAATAATGTGTCATTGTTCTTTTCATCTTTGTTGGTGATGAAGAAAACATACATAACTAATACTTTGAAGTACAATTAGCTATATTGAATCATAGCAGTTTTGGTTTTTCAGTTTTTTTCTCTTTTAGTCACAATAATTTACTTGCCCAAGGTAATTCTAACATGAAAGGAGGCGTATAATTAGGCATGTGTCTTGATAGACGTGAGAGTTGGCATTCAGGTTGTGATGGAACATAGATGTGCAGAAATAACACAAATCAATAGTTACTCTGACATTGTTATGAATTAAAGGGCAGACTGGTGCCTAGTTTGAGAGCCTTTTCACATTTAATCTTAGTGAATCCAGCTTTGTAGCACTTGGTTGCAAGGCTGTTGGCTAAACTGAACAAGTATAGAGATTTAAGAGAAAAGGCAGAGGCATTGGGAAGGCGACCAAGATCAAGCAGAGATTCCTCCCTTGCTGCAGACATATTTTTAAAAACATGAAATTGCAAAGTTTCTCATCTGCATTTTCTGTTAACTATTTCACAGATTAACACAGAATGAATGTCACTTTTCTTCTTCTGCAATGTTTTCATTTTGAATCTTCCCTCAATTTATCCCACAGGGAAGTGCAAGTGAGGCCACCCTGATTGCACTGCTTGCTGCAAGGACAAAGACTATCAGACAGGTGCAGTCAGAGAAGCCTGAGCTGACAGAAACAGAGATCATGGGCAGGCTGGTGGCTTATGCTTCTGATCAGGTGAGTATCTCTCATTAACTTGGAAACACAGTCTATACTTAACAATTTCTGCCATCTGAATAGGCAGGTAAATTTAGTATAAACTCTTTGGATTGGAGACTATTTGATTTTGGTGGTTTAAATCTTACTGTACATCATAAGTGTGTTCCACGGGGATCCGTATTGGGAACAGTGTTGTTTAACATTTTCATTAATGACAGACAAAGGGATCGAGTGCACCCTCAGCAAATTTGAAGATGACACTGAGCTGAGTGGTGCAGTTAACACACCTGAGGATGGGATGCCATCCAGAGGGACCTGGACAAACTTGAAAACTGCTCCGTGGGGATTTCATAAGGTTTAATAAGACCAAGTTCAAGGTGCTGCACCTGGATCAGGGCAACCCCCAGTATCAGCACAGGCTGGGGGATGAACAGATGGAGAGCAGCCCTGCCCAGAAGGACTTTGGAGTGCTGGTGGATGAGAAGCTGGACATGAGCTGGCAAAGTGTGTTTGCAGTCCAGAAAGCCAAACATGTCCTGGGCTGCATCCAAAGCACTGTGGCCAGCGAGGGGATCCTGTCCCTGTGCTCTGCTCTGGTGAGACCCCACCTGCAGTGCTGCATCCAGCTGTGGGGTGCCCAGCATAGCGGGGCATGGATCTGTTGGAGTGAGTACAGAGGGTGGACATCAAGATGATCAGAGGAATGAAGCACCTCTTCTGTGAGAAAAGGCCTGAGAGAATTAGAATTTTTCAGCTTGGAGAAGGCTTTGGGGTGTCATAATTATAACTTAAAGCCTATAAGAAGGATATGGGGGGACTTTTTACAAGAGCATGTAGTGACAGAACAAGGCAGAATGATTTTAAACTGTGAGTAGGGTGATTATATTAAAGAAATTCTTTATTGTGGGCGTGGCAAGGCATTGGAACAGGTTGTCCATAGAAGTTGTGGATGTCCCACCTCTGGAGGTGTTCAAGGCCAGGATGTATGTTCTGTGCAGCCTGGTCCAGTAGATGTCGCTACTCATGATAGTGGGATTTGCAGTAGTTGATCTGTAAGGTTCCTTCCAACCCAGGCCATTCTATGATTCTGTGGTAACTGAACTGGAATGTCATGTGTGCTATCATAATATAAAGGATAAATATCCAGATGTCAGTGTCTTTATAAAGAGCTTGTTTGAAGTAAATAAAGATAATTAAATAAGGTATTAATTTCAGTGATGTTTAGTAAGTCTAGGGTACCTTTTGTCACATCCAGTCTTCTATGTCCATCTGTGCACACAGTATTTTCCTCCTACAAGCACATGTGCAAGCAAACATCCTCCCCCTATATGCATGCATGGGTACAGATGCGTGTACACAGAAAAACCTAATCCATGAATAAAAGCAAACCAGTCACAGTACTTGAAGCAAAAACATTTTTTTTCTCTTTAAAAAAAAAAAAGGAAAACCTTTAAGATATCCATCTGCCAATCCAACTAAGAAATCTTGTAAGGAAACATAAAATATAATCCTTGGTTTGTGACTGTGAGTGGTATTTAGCAGACTGAGTTACACTAAATTCTCAGCAGGCCATGACTATGAGAGGCTTTTAATGTCAATGAAAACAAATTCTGCCCATGTGAGTTCTGCTGCTGCTATGTTTCTAACACAGTAATCCTACTGAAGGGCCATGCAATGTTGTTTCTCTTAATATGTGTGACATTTTCTTTCCTACATGTCAATGATACAGAAAAAAAACCTTCTTTTAGTACTTACTGTTTATTTTAAAGTAATATCTGATGTGCAGAGTAAAATGGCCAAGTTTCAGCCTTTCTTTGATTTACTACTAAGTATATGTTAGAGGGCACTGTAGAAGTTAACACTACACTTGCTCTTTGCTGGTGGGAAGAGGGATTACACTTGTATGGTGAGAAGATTCAAGACAAGAAAATATGAGAAAAGATAACTGCTTTCAAGAGGCACAAAGGATATTTATCCTTTCTTTTTGTTTGTTTGGGACCCTAAGGTCAGTATTGTGCAGACCACCAGTCCCAGAGCTATTACCGATCCAGTGATGCACAAAACCTTTTACTTGTTTTGACTTTTTTGTCCCATATAAGAGGCTGACCTGAAATGAGGACTGACAGGCCTTCCTGCCTACTGAAGGTCAGAGGATCTTATGTTTACGGAAGGATTTGCCTTAAGATACTGCTGACCTTTCCAAGCCGATTGTTACCGAGCTCACCGTTCCTTCTGCATTAAGAACAGACCTGTGTGACTCATAGGCAATAATCCACGAAAGAAAGTTCAACGCAAACCATTCAGTGGAAGGAAAAACTATTCACTGATAGAGCCCAACAATACCAGAATGCATTTAAAAAAGAATCTTGTTACAATTTTTGAGTCTTGATGAAGCAGTTCAGGGCTTCTGACTGGCTAACGACCTCAGTGTATTATTGTAGTTTGCTTATTTGCAATTCTAGTATAAATAATTTCTAAAATACATTTTTCATTGTACACTTGAATGAAGTATGGTATTGCTATGCCACACACCTCATTTTTCCACTTAAAAAGTTATATTTCAAATCTAGGCTTCTAAATTTTCTCAAGTTGGTGCCTGATTACTTACCAAAGCACTTTGAAAAGGGGCACTACTGAGACACAAATTAATGGTACATCTGTCTTTAAAGCATGTAATTCCACAAATATGTCTAGCTGAAAGGCAAAAACTTTGTCTAGTCTAGTTCAACAAAATTCTGGATTGTTTTGTGATTATATGCTAAATTAAAATAGAATTAATAAGCAGTCTTAGGCACTGGCAAAAATCAACAAGGAGATTGTGAATGAGAATAGTCATGATAGGAAAAGATGAGGCATTTTCCTCTTTCACATTAATGATGATTAATGAAATTATAGAAGATAAAATAGCTTTTCTGGTTGTTTGTTTTAATCATGCTTTAAAAGAGATTCTTTTGTGGCTAATGTATCTTTCATTGTCAATGGAGTTTTTATTCCTGTTATTATTCTATTGTACCACACAAATTTATGAGAATTTCTTAGTGATAACTTTGTTTTTATTTACAGAGATACGATTTATTTTCTAAAAGAATATTATTTCAGGGAAATTCAAATTAAGTATGTTGTGAATAAAATAACATATTGGGAATGATCCTTACTTGCCTAAAAAAGTGAATGAATGATTGAACCACAATGTAGTTAGTATGTTATCAGAACAAAAATGGTTGTGTAAGAAAATATCTGTCTGTACCATACTGTGACAAGTATAGTTTTAGAGTTCAGACAAGTTATACACCATAAAAATATGCTAGCAAGCACCTGAATCATTATCAGACAAGATGATTGTCTGCACATCTTTTGATCTAGAGCCAAATCCTGAAACTCTGCATCAATCCTACCATGTAAATTAAAGGTGATTGTCTGCACATCTTTTGATTGATCTAGAGCCAAATCCTGAAACTCTGCATCAATCCTACCATGTAAATTAAAGCTCTCACTAAGGTTAATGGCACTCTTGTCTAATGTGATCATGGCAGTGTTCTCAAGGGTGTGTCAGGGTTGCTATTAGTTTATTTTGTGTGTGTGTGTATTTATGTATATATATATATGTGTCCATCTACTGATAGGAAAGGTGGAGAAGTATGTATCTATTACATACCGTCAACAGTCCTAATATCTCAAGTATGGCTTTACTTGAAAGGACTTACTTTTTTAGTTTGTAAATTCAAATGAACTTCTTACATTCCAGTAAAAGGAGTTGGTCTTAAAACTTGCCCATTTCCTTGTAGGCTCATTCATCTGTGGAAAGAGCTGCACTAATTGGTGCTGTGAAGATTAAAAATGTTCCTTCAGATGACACATTCAGTGTTTGTGGTTCAGCCCTGAAGAAAGTACTGGATGAAGACAAAGCTGCTGGTCTTATACCATTCTTTGTGAGTACTGGATTTTAACAAATCAATGGATAAGATTCTTTTGGTATTAATAGATGGTCTCATCCCTAACAGAGGCACTGGTAGGCAGCTGGGCTAGAATACTAGGAGAGGTTCCATAAGTATTCTTTTGTGCAGGAGGAGAAAATAATTTGAGCAGCTGGTTGCACTTCTCAGCAAAATGATGTTTGGGGTCAATTTCATAGTTGCATGTAGTCCTGCAGTGGTATAATGTCCTAATTCCTGAATTCTGAACTGTTTACCTTTATTTTTCAGGTTCCAACTTACTTACAAATAAAACAAGTTCAAAGGCAATAAATTAAATTATGCTATCTCAAGGTCAAGTGTCTTCAAGAAACAATAGTTTCCTCCTGATAGTACTTTAGCAAAAAAATGAATCTCCATAATACATCCCAAATATTATCAAGATCAGACACAGTCAGGTAGTTGTGAGTAAGTAATTAATCTCTAGCAAATGAGCTGTAGAGAATGCAGCTGTGGAAACTTTAGGTGTCACCACTTCCTGTTATCTGTCCATTTTTTTTCCCCCCAAAGATTCCTACTTCCACAGCAGGACAGCAAAGGCAAATATAGTTATGTATCAGTAGCTTAAGCTCATAATCCCCCAAGTTTTGACATAGAGTATTGTTAGATTAGATAAAATTCTAAAGTTTGGTTCTACCATGATAAGTACCTGATCAAAAAGAAAAATTGCTTATTCATCAGATCTGCTCCTCCTACCAGTTCAGAATACTGTTACTACTTCAAGTTAAAACAAGATTTTGCCATTTGGTTTTTTCCCATGAAGTAAGTAACTTCTGTTGTGGTTTTGTACATCACCAACAAAATTCTTTGCTTATTTCCAAGCATTATGCTCTACTAAACTTGATAAGGACCACAGGCTGTATAGATTTCGTAAGGGATATAACATGCTACAGAAAATATGTTTTTACTGGCCTCCACTGAAGAAAAAAATCCTCACACAATTAATTTAGAAACTGAGAACTTCAGAAATGGGATTTTTTAAGAGATTCAAAAATAAGTCACTTTTTTCACAGAAAAGTCTTGTCTGACAATGGTTGTTTCTTTTCTTTCATGTTGTAACATTTTGATAAGGGATAATGTGACTTAAATTTCTATGAACTGTTTTCAGAAGAATTAGAAGATTAAGCTTGCTTATACTCATAGATTAGTGCCAAATGGGACAAAGAAGCTTAAATTTCACCAGGCTCTTTTGAAAATGTAATCTTTTTACTCTTCTTGTTATTAACCTTTAGAGAATGTTTTTTATGTAATATGAGGATGACTAGAATGAGAAGTGATTTTCATATGTGAAGAACACTGCTAATTTCTAGGGTGCCTAGAACTAGTGAGTCTTTAGGATGACCAAGCACATCCTGACAATTGCTTTACGATATAACAATATTCTGACTGAGAAAAAAAGCATTTCTAGGGTTTCCAAAAAGAACTTTTTTCTGTGGGACGCACCTATTGAGGTGAAGAACATGCCACAAGGCATGTTTTATTTCTCTGTTTTATTATCCCAGTTCATAATACCTTACACAGGATCCTGTTTCTATATCTCACTGTTAATTTTAAATGATTACAAGTACAGCAGGATATCTTCATGCAATAACTGTGCATGTCTTTTTTCCTCAGCTTTTGACCATTAGCAAAAAAATGCAACTTGCCCCTTACAAATATTCAGGCCTTATTAATTTTTCTATGCATACAAGAGAGAAAAGGTTTCTAATTTACGTATTCAGTGACACCTTTACAGAAGGTGATTTAACTGCTGTTTTTCTTCCTCTGTTTGTTTAGCTTTGCAGGCTTTCAAAGACAGCAGAGGCTCTGCCTGAGTTAATACAGCCTGTATCGAGTCTTCCATTTATTTGTGTACATAAAATATGTCAGCTTTAGCTCAAACATTATTGGTATGGCTGGCCTCTTAACTCAAAAGGTGTGTTAATTCTCTGTCATGCTGAGCAGCAGTCCATGCACTGTATTAGTGCTCCCTTTTTTGGCTTGCAGATTTCAAAAGCCTTTCCATTTCTTTTGTTCTTGAGTAATTTGATGCTGTTGTATTTTGTTCTGGCGACAAAGATATGCACATTGCCAAGGAAACACCTTACGCCACTTGATTCCTTGTCTCCCTGTATTCACTGATCCTTCACTAAGGGGAGTGATCCAACATCAAAGCAACAAGTTTGATGGAAGAAATTCTGCCTGAAGAGACTTGTGACAGCAGAGACATCATTCCTAATGAAGACGTCTTGTTTGCATCCAAGCTGCTACAGTCTCCCTTAGAAGCAAGAAAAGGTTTTGTAAGGGATTAAAAAGAAAATACAAGTAAATTGCAATGCCTTATAGGCATCTTTCTTCTCTTAGTCTTAATGAATAAATGAAGAATCATTATACTGAACTTGATAGCAGTGCTTTCCTTGTAGAGGTGAGTGGAGAATCAGGGTCAGATTAGCTTGATGTGAAACAGATTCTGTCATTACAGCAATCTGTTAACTAAAGGTTTGCTTTTCACATACACAGGATTTGGCAGTCAGCCTTTTTTTGGGGACAGGCATTGTCTTTCAAAGGAATCTTTGCATTCCTACCCACCATCAATGTCCTGTAGCACTAGTAATGTGTATATCATTTTGTTCAGTAAAAGCTGTTACCAGTAGGGTACCCTGATCTCTACTTTTGTTTTCTTTCTTTTATTTCTGAGTTCAGACTTGTGTTAATTCATCTCTTTCAAAATACTTTTGCAGAAACTGAAACAGATGTATTTTCATATAGTAAAGCAAACAGACTGTGCAAACAAAGCACTTAACCATGTCAGGTGTTGAGGGACTAAAATTGCCACAATTTACTAAGGAGCCATTTTCCAGCACAGATGATGTGCAGCCCTTGATCTGGCCCCAAATTAAAGGGGGAGCTTTAAAGCACATGCTGAATTAATGTCCATTTCATTAACTGTAAACACACACTGGTGGTTAAACCTGTGTGTAAATGCCTCTCTCAGTTGGGCCCTGTGCTCCCAGCTTGAGACAGACCTCTGTGTTGGCAGACTGTTGGCTGGGATGCTCAAAAGTGAAGACCACTAAGTTAAGCACTCCTAAATTCAGATAGAGTACCCACTGCATTCAAGCCTGGCTCACCTAAACGTGTGTAGGTGGCCTGTGAGCTTTGTGCTGTCTTTCATAAGTCAGCACTGACAGATTGCAGCTGGCATATACAATATACTTCAACGACCTCAACCAGTATAAAGCTGCTACAACACAATTGCCTGCTGCCCAGCATGAAATCTCTCTGATTTTAGATGAAATGACTCTTCTGAATGTGTTCCACAGGATATTAAGAAGCAGGCTTTTTGTGTCCTGACTCACTCGGGAAACAAATCAGAATCAGACTGACAGAGAAGCCATCTTTTCAGTAGAACACTTAGATCCTGACCACAGATTTCCATTTGATAGAAACATTCTTCAGACACGTACAGATGTCTAGGGTGATGTTTCTTAACCCACAGTTTGTGAATGATAGCTGTTCTGTAAAATACTGAATGGTGGTTTAGAGAACTGTTGCAGTTTTATTCAGGCCACAGACATTCTCATGAGTGCAAGCTGGCAAGAACTGAATAGGAGAAAATAAAAACAATATGCGAACATTGAAAGTTCTGCCTCATTTTAGTTATTTGCAAATGAAAAGCTTTGTGGTGGAACCATGCAAAATGTGTCCACATCTTTTTCAATAGCTGTAGGAGGTCTTCTAGTTGAAAAGATTGAGAGTAATTGCTCTCAGGAATCATAAAGATTCATGTGTGTTTCCTGACATAGCACTCCATTTCAGGAAACTAATACATGAGATGACTGAGTTAAGCATTTTAGCTGCTTTGTATTCACAACCAAGGGCTGAGTCAAATTTGAAGTGCACAACCTGAAAAAGGAAAAGGCCTGCAGGCTATACTGAGCCATCAGTCCCATTTCTGTGATGCAGTCTGTCCCCTGCCCTTTGCACAAATGTGATTTTTCTGGTGTTACACAGGCTACAAATTGAGTTAGATTCATTCTGTAGTACTGAGGCGGGGTAATGAGAGTCCTGACAGGGGCAGATGGTGTCACTCTAAGTGGTTTCTGAGAATTAAAGCAAGTAGCTTTGAGGCTTAGACACCTGCAGAGAGGAAAACAAAATTATTTTAGAAATTGAGATATACTTTACAGAATAAGCCATTATTTAAACAACTAAGCATATGTTTCAACTCATATAATCTCTCACTGAAAAAACATGCTTCTTATCCTGATTAGAATACCTTAACTGCAGTACAAAAGTACTATCACTGTGTAACTTTTTGATATGAAATTTCCATCATTATTTTAATTGCTGGATTAACCAAAGCAATTTCACTCTAATCTTGTCAGAAAATTCATACCGTATTACCATAAAATATAAGTGTAAAAGCAGAGTTAAGTCTGTAGTGCACTCTTTTTATCTCCCAATATATGCATATTCCTTATACATATAAAAAACTGGCATTTTCATCATGGTGTCCTCCATTGTGATAAATATATTTTCACTCCATACACCCATGCCTTCTTACGAAAAATAGAAACCAAATGTTTTCCTGCTATTTAAAAAAATACCCTACAATCTTTTCAAAGCACCCTCTATCAGTGGGTGATTAGTCTTCCAGAGAACTCTTAAACTTACCTCAAGGCACTTCAGTTTTCTGTTCTTCTGTGTCTCAGAAATATAGGAGGGCCCAGTATAGATAAAGATCAGATTCTATTGAAGGAAAAATATGTTAGCTTAGGATTTTACTAACTATATACATACAATGTGCTTCTCATTTTCAGAACTGTATTTGTTCCAAACTCTGATTCTTAGTAGCTTAATGTAGAAAAAATACTGAATTGTCCCCTTTTTATTTTAGTAATTATTTTTTTCAAGTTTTTCTGGCACAGGATGTTTGTTTCTTGAAAAGTCCAGTGGATGGACAAGTATAATTTAGGTTTTCCTTTCTCTTCTTATTGGTCTCATCATGAATTTGCTAAGGGACACATATACACAGAAAAATGTATCTAGTTCCAGATATATAGGGAAAAACTGTAGGAACAAAATATGTTGCTTGACAGTGTACTTGGCAGAAGAGGTAACCAGAAATACTAAAATAAAAGAAGCAAAATTCTGGGTTTGGCATTTTTATAATCATGTCCTAGCTGTTCTGTAGTTTATGTTTGACCTTGGATAAATTATCTAACTCTTTTATGTTTCAATGCTCTGACTATAACACAGCATACTTTGTCTATTTAAACTGTAAAGTGTCTGTCTTTTATTGTGTAACTCTGACTATAACACAGCATACTTTATTTGTCTATTTAAACTGTAAAGTGTCTTTTATTGTGTAAAAAATCTAGTAAAAGACAAAAAGCATACTCAGCCTTTATTAGTGCTTTCAGAAATAAGACAGGGTATTTAAAACATAAGTGTAGCAATGAAAAATAAAATAATGTCAGTTTATATGCCCTTGGTAGTTGGGGATTTTTTGATTAAAATTCTACCTGCATATTCGCAATAAATTACAATAGCTCATTTTCACCAAGTTATATTCTCTTTCTACTGTGAAACTTCAGCATGTTGTCTCTGCTTTTGGCCCACTGGTCACACAGAAGGATTCATTAAAGGAGACATTAACAGAACGAAGGAAGAACTGTTCCAGTGTTTTAGGCTGAATCTGGGAAAAGAAGTTTCTTTGTGAAAAAGTCTTGCAAGCCAAGTAGTGAACATATGCTGCTAGTGAGCAGGTTCCAGGTTGCTGATGTCTTGAGCATAAACTGGTTACAAATCTCTGTTGCAGAGCTCAGCAAGAGCTCTGATCAAGACAGCAACATTTGTCGATCTATTCTGTCAACAATAATTCCAGCACCTTTGAGTTGCTCAAGTTCAGAATTTGCTCATGTACCATGAACTGCAGTCATTTTGATGGGATTTGCATATGTTAAGGTAGTATTGAGCCACACAATACGCATGTGGAACTTACAGAAAATACATAAAATATAGCATTAGCACAACACTGTGCCTATATTACAGTACTTATCACTCAATTTTATATAAACATTTGATTGTATGCATCTGCTTCAATGGACTGTTATGGGAGCTTTGAAAATACCCACCCACAGTCTCAAAAGTTCCACTAAGGGACTACTTGAGTTCCACTAATGACTAACATTTTTTTTTTGTTCTATAGTGTCTATTCTTTTTGTTTATTGCTGCCTTTGCAGACCATTTTTCTCCTTTGGTAATTTTCTGTGCTGTAACACTTTTTTCTTTTTTGGCTCTGCAGTTCTGTGCAACACTTGGAACCACCCCTTGCTGCTCCTTTGACAGACTGTTAGAACTGGGTCCTATTTGTAAGTCTTTGCTGCTTCTTTCTAAAACTGCAGATACCAGTTTAAGCCATGCTGAGTCATTTCCAGGACATTATGCAGTGTCAGTGTCCAAATACAATAAAGCTACTTTTAGATGAGACCTTCAGTTACAGTTTTTTTTCTAATATTAGGTCAAGCAGCAAATGTGCGTTCTTAAGCTGTTAAAAAAGTTAGAGGACATTGCCTTAAGGGTTTCTTTTCTAGGGGGAGATATATTTTGGAATACTGTCAGTTAAGAATTACTCTAATGCTTCAGTTTGTAACATATTTCTTCAAGCCCATGTACCTGCAAGGGCTTCTAGAACAATGCTGAATATCAGGAAAAAGTTGAACTCTTAATTCTACTCTGCACCAAGTGCTTTGTTTCTGCCTGGTGCTAATAACTATAAAAGTCAGGGAAATATGCACCAAAAATCCCCCATCTATTCTTAATCCTTGCTCTCCCCTTCCCAATTTCCTTCCTCTTCCAAGAAAATAAGACAAATGCCAGTGTGCTTAATACAGTGATCAAGTCATGGACTCTTCATAAGTATTTCTTTCTCTGTTGTGGTTTGTTGTGTCAAGCTTTGATCTGCAGCAGGGCTTGGTCAAATCCCATGTTTGCTGGCTGATGAAAATGCTACCAAAGCACACCATATCTCTTCAAGTGAACATTTAGAACAGGAAATCCATAGCTGTAAGCCACTGGAAGCAACTTCATAGAAACACAGCTTGATTTGATGTCCTGTTAATTTATTCAGGGGCTTGCATGGTGGTCATTTGCTCTGTGAGGTTTGCTGCCTTTCAGCACAAGACCCAGTGGTTTGGTTTCTCCCAGTCCTTTTTTAAAACAGGTTCCTAGTAGTTTGCTTAGCAGCTACAGATTATTTCTGTTTGTGTTATTCCTAAAGACATATTAAAATAGTGGCACCAATACGTTTAGGTGTAGCCATTATCATGTATTTCACTTAAATGATTCCCTGCTTGTGTAGCAGAGCCCAGCAGAAGGATGGCATAGCAGTGAAGTCACAAATCTCATGCTACCTTTTCTGTTAGCTTTTCTTTTAATTTTCTCCTTAGCATACATGAGCAGCAGTCCTATGACATAAAGGCAGTGTCTCAAACCAAGTATATTTAAACATAGATAATCAGTTAAACTTTCAACATGCTTTAAAATAAACCTAAGTTGGGGATGTTGTGAATAATATTTTATTGGCATTCCCAGGCATTCTTGCAAAAAGAAAATTTAGTTCACAAGAATGCAAATTTCAGCATGAACTTGGTGCCCAACTGCAGATCTCAGTGGATGTACCTCTGTATGTGGAAATAACCATCAGAATTATTTGGTGGCCAGTGAAACGTGGGCTTCAGCCATAAAACTGATAGACCATGATTGTTACTGAGTGCATTAAAATAGTGTTCTCTAGTAGAGTGTGAATACTTAATTACAGAGTATGCGTGAGCTGCTCATATGCCAAAATACTTCTGCAGAAACCATTCAGTGACTAATCAAAAGTAGCACTTTCTTAGCATTTCAGTGCTTGCTTTTGCCTAAGTGTCTCCATCCTTGAAATGAGTAGTTTACTGCACATAGTTCAAAAGCATGTGCATGCACATTTATCAATATGTAAAAAAAATACTGCTTAGAAATGTGTGTGTGATTCATGAGTTAGAAGTGGGGAGCGCAGCTAATATTCTATCTGCTCCTGCAAAAGTAGTTTTATTACCATAGAAATGATAGCTAAATCTCTAGATACATTTTTGAAAGTGTACTTTATAATGGCTCTTAAATCAAAACAACAAAATAATTTATGCTGCTTAATTTTGGTAAGATAAACCCAGATATGATGACCTTATGGCTCCTTTCCAATGCAGGATATTCTATGATTCTATGCTTCTTTAACTTTTTTCCAGTAGAAGTGGGAAGGAAGAATAATACACTATATAGATAATTTATATATTAATGAAAACCCAGATGGCGGAAACATTTAATCTTTTAATTTAATTACAAATTGGGAAAATAATAACATCAAAGAGAAATCTCTCAGGCATTTGGTTTCATGCAAAATAATTGGACTTTTTAATCAGCTGTTTAATTTATTTCCTTCAATTATTTTTTTAGGTAATAAGGAAAATATCTGGATGCATATTGATGCAGCCTATGCAGGAAGTGCTTTCATCTGCCCTGAATTCAGGCATCTTTTAAATGGAGTGGAGGTGAATGAGTGTTTTTTCTCTAGCAGCCTGCTGAAACAACCTTGCTCTTTTATAGAATCTATGTGGTTTTTACACACCCAAGATTATTGGCTCTTCCAGAATCTCTGAGTAAGCTGCACCTCAGTTTGCACTACCAATCCCTGTACATTCGATTGCATTACTTAAATTTTTAAATTTTTAATGGTTTATACTGGGATTATGCGAGTACCCCTCTATAAGAAGTTTGTCGTTCAGAATAACAAGTAGTACTGAATCAACAAATACAAAAAAGGAACTTTTCCCCAAATATCGCTAAAGACATATTTGTAACATCCTACATTACACAAAAAATGAGGAAAAAAAAATAATTTCAACAAATTAATGAGCTCATTATGTCTGGTTTTCGTCTTACATCCTGAAATTCATATGGTATAGAGCGAGTAGCTGTATCTCAAACAGACAGGGTTTAATAACCAGGAGACCTAAATGAAATATTCCCTTAACAGCACTGCTGTTCCTTTTCTGCTGCCTTACTGAGCTACTTGGCATTCAGTTGCTTAGATAAGAGTACTTCAATTTCCTGCTGCTCCCCTCAGTCAGATAAGTCCTTGTCTTCCACATCAGTGGAGAAAATATTACTGTTTGGTAAAGCCAGAAGTTTAAACACAACACTGATAGGCAGTGAGTAATGAAGAAGAGGCGGGAAAACCCCCTCACAAATAAAGCATTTCTTTTTGTCTCTTTTTTATCAGCAAATGAAGCTTGTTGTAATTTCCTGTGGGGGAATATTTTTAAAATTATTGTTATTGGTTCCTGAAGGAAATGAAACAGCTCCCTTGTCTGGGCCAGCATTTGTCATAAGAGTAAATATTTATCAACCATGAATAGGTTTCCTACCTTGTATAGTACAGGGTGATAGCAAGATAGATGGATAGATAGATAGATGGATAGAGAGACAGGCAGATCATCTTCTCTGATTGGAGCATTTGTTAATTGTTTACAGGTGACAGGGAAGGTTATGAGAAGCAAATGAGAACAGAAAAGTGCAATATGGAATAGTCAGACCTTGGTGCTGCTGGGTCCCCATCCCCAGCTTTTTAAGGCTGGTGACATCTGCCTTTCTTAAAACAGAAAGCCCTTCTGAAATCCTTGCCCACCTGGGTTTCTTCTGATGCCCCACCTAAACATGTCAAGTAAACCAGGCCTGGCACATGGTATATAAATATGTATTTACTGCAAGTGCTTACTTTTTGGTGGTTTTTCTTTTGATTTAGATGAAACAATAATTTCCAGTGAAAGAAAAGACCCTGTCCAAAAAAAAAACCAAAAAAACAAAAAAAAAGTCCTAGTCAGTTGTAATTTTTTGAAGAAATATGATGTGCAGATTCTGAATTACGTATATAGTTTCTTGCTATATATGAATTTTATGTGTATTAGTTCCATATTCTTGGACGTAGAAAGCATAGGGAATTATTATTGGAAAATGTGATGTGTACCCCAGTGAATGTTTCTGAGTATGCAAATGTATTTATTTATTTAAGATCACAAAAAGATATTTACTTTTCCACAAGATATGTAGCAAGAAAGTATAATTGTAAACAAATACTCAAAATGTTGATAATACCACTAACCTAACTCCATATGTAATGTGAATTCCACTCCCAAAATAAATGAAGATTTAACTCCCAACAGTTACTAAAAAGGGTGACATTAATATGAACATTATAAAGACCTGATTCAGGAATTGATTTATAGTTATACAGACAATTTGACAAAGTCACATTGTTAGCACATGGATCCTTTTCTCTTTTGTAATTCTGTTTTTATTTATCCATACTCAGTTTGCAGATTCATTTAACTTTAATCCTCACAAATGGCTCCTAGTGAATTTTGACTGCTCTGCAATGTGGTAAGTATTACAGTAAAGGGAAACATTACAAGAGACAAAAATGAGATTATATTAGTTTTCCTTTCTAGCAGTAGACATTTCTTGATATTTTTCAACTGAAATGGGGAGGACTGCATAGCTTTAAATCTTATAAATTATTTACAGAATTCAAACTTTCATTTCATCCAAGTTTCCAAAGCACAAAGTTTTGAAATAGACCTGAGCTCTGTATTATGTTCCAAAAAGAGAGAGAAGTCCCCAAAAATCTGAAGATTTATACTTGCTTCATTTTGGGACTGTTTAAAACATAAATAAAAAAACTTATTTTAAGCATATCAGTGCAATGAACAGCATGCTAAACAGGTTTTTTTTTTTCTTTATTCATTTTCTTTATCATAACATTTCTTTTTGTTTGATTCTTTTAAAAGCCATTCTAAAAATGTTGAAGATTTGGCTGATGAAAAGCGGTTGATTTCAAAAAGGCCTATTTATGTAATTTTGTACTGACTTTCAGTTTTCCCAGATGACAGCCGAGACATTTTGATATTAAATGGTGCTGAAATAGAAACCCCTAGACAAAGCAAAGTATCATAGCAGTAATGATAGCATGGGTTTGTTAAAAACATTCCATAGATGATCCTGTTTTGTCCCAAACTAAATGATTACCAGCATCACAATTAATGATACTTGTTAGCAAAACAGCTATTCAACAAATGCACACTATTTATCAAAATAAATGAAAACATTTATTTCAGTTGTAATAGAACAAAATTTGCAAAAGAGAAAAAAAGAAGACTCCAAAACATCATCCAGAAATAGGTCACCTTATTTAAAAGTGGAATAAATGTAAGACAGTGATCACTCAGTTGCTTTTGGTTAACCTTCATCTCTTTTAATTTCCCTGGCAAAGTTGACTTTTCAGGTAATATATTATGATTTTTATTTCAATATTTCGGCTGATGTAGACATTTTAAATCTTCCTACACATTGTGGTTTTTTCTTTTCCCTAGGGTAGATGGCTCACATTTTGACTCTAATTCATGAGTAATGACAGCACCCCATAACATGCTGTGTCTCCGTGTGTAAGGAGGTGGGAAGATGCTGAAACAAACTCCTTCACTAGTTCCTCCCATCTTTTTCTCATCACTCAAAGACGTTGTTAAAAACATAGCCACTTGCAAATTAGACAATACACTATCATTTTCTTTAATGTTTGTAGAACAATGAGGAGCCACAGTCTAGTCCTGAACAATTTAGTTTCTCATTAATTCTGCTTTCCCTGAAAACCCTGTGGAACTATGTTAAAGGCTTTTTACCTGGCTTTCCAGTAAAACAAGTTATGTACAATCATACTCTGAGTTCCCATTTCAGGTGACTTTAGGTTATTCCTAGTAAAACTTAGACTTCAGACTTAGGAAGATATTTTTTCTGCATTTTGTTTCTTGTTGGGTTTTTTTGTTTTTATTTTTAGATAAGCCATTGCATAAAATGCTTGTTTTTATAGGTAGGAAGATTCCAGTAGAAGGACTCTGAAGAGACCTTGCAACATCTCCTTACTCAAAGTAAAAATTTCACAACTATAGCCACTTGGGCTTCAAGTCAGATAGGCGTTTCTCTATAGGGGTTATTCACTTAACACAGAATAAATGTACACTTAAACTCTTTGACTTGAAGCCAAGTCCATTGTCCAGCTAATTCTAAGACCCACGTCCAAAATTCACCTGTCTTACCAACTGTAGCACTCCCTAAGAAGGTGGAAAAGTAACACTAAAGGATGAAGGATGGTAAGAAAAAGTAACTGTGAAGGATACATTCTCTTAGGATCCATGAAAAGTATCAAGTACAATACTATGGTAGTATGGAAAGAGTTCAGTAAACGCTGGACACCATTTCAGAACCAAAGTAATCTGAGTTCCATTGATGGGCAGACTTCAAAATAACTCAGACTCCTCAGCACTTTCCCCAATAAACACTTGCATTTCTTTTCTCTTCAAGCTGATTAAAATAATCTACCCATTAGATCTGTAATGTAATTGTGTAACTACTCAGTGCAATATGTGGCACTGATGTAGTTTCAGATTTGGAGACAATTTCATTATAAACCTTTTGTAAAATATTCTCAGACTTCCTGATGTACAGAAAAGAGCAGTCAATTTCCTATAAAAAGGAATTTCATAAAGCCAGTCCAAGAAGGGTGTATATTCTATATTCAAATACCAGAGTCCTTTAGACACTTTGTCTTGAAACTACAGTCAGTTTTCCTGACTTGTTTAAATGATATTCTGGAATATTATAAAATAGGACTGAGTGTCTTCATTCAGAGAGAGTGAAAATAATAATCTTGTGAAGTCTTGGTATTTTTTACTTTTATTACTCTTTTTGGAGTTTAAGTGTTAACTTTTGATTAGGAAGGGTGTTTCAGTAACTGGAAGAAGGTGCTTACAGGAAATACTTATCTGTAGATCATAGAACACAGAATAGTTTGGGTTGAAAGGGAACTTAAAGATCATCTACTTCCAATCCCACTGTCATGGGCAGGGACACCTTCCACTAGCCCAAGTCGCTCAAAGCCCCATCCAGCCTGGTCTTGAAGAGTGCCTGAAATGAAATTGTATTTCACTTTCCTAACTCCAGCTGAATAAACTTGAACAATCTACTTGAACACAAACTGAAATTTTCCCGCTGGTTCATAATATGGCGTCACCTTTTTATCTGTCATTAAAAATGTACAAAATAGAGTGAGGCAGTTAAAAGCTGCACATGTGCAATTCAAGTCACTTCTCACAGATTTTCATTACTTATTTCACCAAGAGGTTTTTTTTTGCATTTTGTGTTATGAATACTTAATATGAATCTGTGCTACTTAAGTTAGGTCTTGGTCTATTAGCATAACATCCAGCCTTAAAAAAATTCTAGTTTACCAGTATAATTTGTGAAATTCATATTCACAGGATCACAGATTATTAGGGTTTGAAAGGGCTTCTGGAGATCATCTAGCCCTATGATTTTCTTCCTGAGAGGTAGTCAGGGAAGATCTTTCAGGCTGGTGGATGTGTGCCTCAGAGCCCCTTTAACAGAGAGCCACCCACTACAGTCACTCAACTTTTCTTGTTACACTAGCCACTGTATGGCTCCTGATGTAGGCTCTCCTTGTTTGCCTTGCTCAGAGACATCTTCAGACCGCTGAAGAATCATACCTGATTTTACTCTGAATGTTGGAGGGTGGAGGTTGGAGCCCTGCTTATTTTTGATCACCAGGGTCCAAGGTGTCTCAAGCTCAGTGTTATCCCCTGGAGGTGTATGGTTCTGGAGCCACATATGTGTCTTGTAAAGCAGCCATCCGACAACAGGTCATCCACCTGTGCACACCTTGTGCAGGTACCAGCCTTTTCTCCAGGAGAAAAGGCTACCATTGCAAGCCACCAGCTGTACTGACACCTCCTTCCTTACCAGTTCCATCTGAGTGAGAGCATTAGACTTCTCAGGTGCTGCCTCAGGCGACACAATGGGTTTGGCTCCAAGGTGGGGGCCACCATTATGGCAGAGACCTTGAGCACTGAGCACTTTGGTCTGGACCTCCTGAGCACTTAGGGCTTGCCTGAGGTGTGGACCTGCTTGCAGAATGCAGCAGCACCCTTCCTGCATTCCCTGCTATGGAAACTTCCATGTCATTTTTGTGTGTTCTAAGCTAGATGTAGCTACAGAATAGTTACCCATTCCATTGTTTAATACAGCACCTTACAGGAGAAGAAGTAAAGTGCTCACAAAACATCTAAAGACATTGCTTGTAACTTGGATTAGCTGCATGGAGAATGAGCTACTGAAACACAAATATACCAAAGTAATCAAATACTTCAAATAAACTACAGTAGAACAACCTAAAATTTGTTAAAAATATTTATCCTAATTAAACCTGATTTAAATTATTGTTTTCTTCCTTTTGTCCTTGGGACATTTTCAGCAATAATTAGGTTATTCATTGTTCTTATTTTATCTGAAAATCTGTCATTATTTTTCATATGTGAAAGTTTACTTATTTTCAGCCATGTACTTCCCATACCTGAAGGCAAATACTTAGCTGTTAACCTTGGTACTTCCCTGACCATTAGAGAGACGAAAGCTTTTTGTTTGTTTGAATAAGATGTTTTATGACTACAATCTAGATGTGAATGAGGGTGTGAGTATGTACTGGCCTGTGCATTTATACATACACGCTAAAATACTGGAAATTAGGTTTTTACTTAGAAATTTACAATTCTACATTAAACCATTAAAACGTAGAAAAAAGATTTGGACTTTTGTCTTTTAGAGTATCCCTGTGTTAAGTTTTGCTTACTTTGTAATATATTTATAGGCATAATATAAAGATGTAGCAGTCTTTCCCTTTTTGATTTATGGTTTCTTCTTCTGCCTCTATAAACCCCAACATTTGTGAGGTGAGTCAGTCTTACTCAGCATGAACCATGAACCAGAAAAATCATGTTATTAATCACTGGCAAAACACCTTTTATTCTCTGTAAAAGGAACACACTGGCTTTGGAACCTCAGTCCAGTCACACCACCCCTAGCTGGCAATAGTAAGTTACACTTCTCAGTGTAACATTGTGCTGTAGAATGCCTGTCAGGAATTGTGTAGTGGATCCAGCTAATGGCAGGGTGGTACAAGAGGGGAGCCAGAGTCAGAAAAGGGGGCTTGTCCCTTCCAGTGGCTGCTCTTGCTACTTCCACAGCAGCATGGAGAGAGGGTGGCCAGCACCCCCAAAGCCTCAGCGCAGCTTTGTGTGATGTTTAGGAAGCAACAGCTCTTCCCACGCAGCTTTGTACTGCAGTAATTTCAAGACAACTTCTGTTGACTGCAAACATTAACATTGCTTCAGCTAGTCTCACATTCTGGTGTGAGTGTCTATCACCATAAAAAGATCCTCTATGTCTGTTTCTTGTCTGTTTTTAAATATGCAGTCGTGCAGTTATGCTGCCCGTTCCTGCTGAGCCTTACACTTAACTGCTTGTAAGTACAGTACTGATATGGCTGTGAAAAAGCGCTGAAAATGGCACAGGCTGTGCTCAGGAAATATGCCAGTTTAAACACATTCAATTTGACTTCACTTCTTGTGGAAATTTAATCCCTTAAGTCTTTATTCTTAAATTTCTCAATTTGATTTCTTTCTTTTTTTTATACAGGGTGAAAAAAAGATCAGATTTAATAGGTGCCTTTAAATTAGAACCTCTTTACCTGCAGCATCACCATCAGGAGTCTGGTAATTTTATAATTAAATGAGATTATTATTATTTTGCTTGCGCTCTGATATTTAATGGGAAAATAGGATTTAAGATGAAAATGGCAATTCTTAAACTACCCAAGTTGTTTAGGAGGCCGTTTCCATTTTATGAGCACTCTAGGGAGCTAAGCTCATTAAAGTGCAAATACATGTCTAGTGAGATTTTAGTTAGTTAAAAGCAATACAAGAAAAGTAATTTCATAAAGCATTATGCATTACTGCTTTTGTATTGGGATTTCCCCAGTTGCAGACTTACCACTGATTGATTGCAGGAGTGTTGAGAAAACTCTTATTATCTTTTGGCTGTCAGATAAATGTATTATTGGGTGTTGTGTAACAAGTCCCTTAACCTGTCTTCCCCAACACATCTTTCTCCAGAATGATTTCAGGATCTGATTTGGTTTAAGAGTTTTTAAGGTTTGTGACTTTTTTTCTTAGTTATTCATGCAAGCTCTGATTCAAATTTTTCAGAAACACTTGTGAGGAAATAAACACTCCCAGAAACTACAAAGAAAGCGTGAACTGTGTTTGCTGTCTGTGCTCTGCTTTTGAGTGATAGCTTTCTGGGACAATGTGCTGTAGCCCTCATGCTCTTACCCTGGCTATAGGGAAAGGTAGTAAGAACGGACTGTCTGTTTTGTACAAAATGTTCATGAAAGCTCTTTACAAAATGCTCACAAAGAACTTAAAAATCTCAGGCTCTTCACAAAGCTCCTTAATGGATTCATGCTGGTCCTTACACATACCTAGCAACTGGAGAGCAGTATTTGCCCTCCTGAAGCCCATTTTTACACATCTGGTTATTAACTGAATAATTGTGAAGAAGATCACAGCAGTGCACAGTCAACATGTGGTGGAAGTTCCCTCATAACATTCTGAAGAGAGTGAATCATCTGTAGAAGGTTTTACCATATACTCAACCTCATAATTTTCCTGGAATTGCTGGTGCTGATCTGTGTTCAGAAGTGCATCCTGTTATGGCTATGAACTCATTGACATTTAAATTAATACCACCCAGAATTCCACTATTCACTAAAAAGCCCTAGGAAAAATGGATTCATGTGCCTTAATCCTGAACTAGCACAAACCTTGCATTTTATTTCTTTCCTCCATTTCTAAGGAATGCAAACATAGAACAGTGCAATAAACAGGAACATGCAGTAATTCTGGAGCTGATGTTTACCTTCTAAAGGCTCAAATGATTAAGAAAAAAATATACCTTTTTTTGCCTTTTTAAATGGAATATACAAGTTACAGCAAATACACTTAAGGCACTAGCTTCTACTTAACATACATCAAAAATATTTATCTTCAGGTGAAAAAATTCCAGCCTTAACTAAAACGAAAATATGTTCTTGGGACAACTGATAGTGCTGACACAAGAACTTTTGGTCTTACCTGGATTAAATAACACCTGAAGAAAACCAAACCTTTCTTAAAAACAGGTAGTTTCAGTAAGGCCACCTAGTTGGCCTAAAAACTTTATCACCCAATTGGAGAAAGAGTTTTTTAGCCTTCATCTTGCCTTCAGAAGCGGGATAGCATGTTATGTGATCTAACATACTGATTTCAAGATCAGCTGATTACTAGCAGTCTAGAAATGCCAGTTTTTTTCTATGCTCCATTTCCATATGATACCAATTTTCTAAGGAGTTGGACAACACTTTTCAAATGCAAATGCCTCTGGTTAAACTTCCAACCCACACTTTTTCCTTCAATAAACACAGTCAAATTTGCTACATGAAGGTGCTGCAGTCCCCATTAACCCCTGTGTGATTTGTGGGATGTCAGCACTCCTGAAAATATCACTTGCCAAATGGAGGGTCTTGAATTCTCAGTATTCTCAGGTCTGAGAATTCCTGTCCTGGTTTACTAAGTAAATGAAGTGGTATTTCTGAATTCACTTATCTCTCACTCAAGAATTTAAATGAGCAGAAAAATATCTCTGTCCATGAGCAATTACTCTTATTAACCATATGGCAATTATATGTGTCCCGAAGGGGAGAGTCTTTATTTGTCATTAATTATAATTTTATGTGATTTGCATCACCACACCAGAAAGATTATGCTAGCTTGCCTGGCAACCCAGGATATAGGTCAAATCCTCATGGAAGTGTTAGAAAAGTGCAGCTTTATACTCTATTGTGAACACATACGCTCCCACAATGCAATTCCTCCTGGTTAAATACAGATGTAAGACTAAGGCTTGTAATCAAGGAATCAAGCACTAATCATTGATTACATTCTGCTTCACAGCTTGTGAAAGGCGTTGTTGTGGATCATTAGACATAGCCCCTTACAGGAGCGTAGGATTATTTATTTGTCACCAGTTGCTTTACTCTCTTTGCTACCAGTCTTGCAGCTATCAAACAGAAATGGCTGCTGCAATGCAGAAGAATAGGAATGTTATCGATTTTCCTCATTACCAAGCAGAGACAACCACATTCATTTCCAGAAGACCAGGAACAAGTTAATGATTGTTCGTTGCTTTGTGGATTTGAGTTTTTTACCATCTGGAAATCAACATAGTGACAGGTTAAAGAACCTAATGGCCTTCTGTTACAGGGAAAGAAGGACCTTGTTTTTTCCTGTGTTTTGGCTGCAAATGAGAGAACATTGGCAAGAGAGCTTGTAGCAAAGAAAAGCTTGTTTGGTTTTTTTCCCTGGAATACATAAAGGCTGAAAATTATGTAAATGGCATATACTGGTCAAATTCAGAAGCTACAGTTCAACCTTCCAGTTAACAATTCCAGGAACATCCAGCATTTTCCCAAGGAATCCAAGTACATACTCTCCTATGAAACTTATACTCCAATGCAAATAAATAAAGCAGAATAAGGAAGCTAAGCAGATGCTTCCTAGAGAAGTGCTTTAAATATTACGTCAGTTTAATTTCTGTTACTGACTTACAGCAAGTAACTGACTGTGTTCAAGTTTACTTTACTGTGAAATCAGTTGAATTCCTTGATTCAAAGAAAAGGTGGGTGAATCCTGACACTGTGTGCTTATGTAAAAGGACAGCTAATAATGCCCTCTGCTTGCCTTCCTGGACTGCTTTGTGGCTTAGTCCATCTGTTTAAGGGGCTTCCATTCCATCAAAAGAAAAACCATAAAAAATTGCAGAATACTGTTCTCCAAGCAGGAACAGGTCAAATTCTGAGACAATTTTTCCAGTCACTTAGCAGATATCCTGAAGAATTAGCAACAAATATATGCATGAGTATAAAAGGTATTTAGAAGTGGATTATTTTAAAGAGTGTTACCAGTTCACTAGGGTAAAGGCAATGACATTTCACAGCAGAGAATGGGTTATGAAGTGAGTCTGGGGTTTCTGCAAACTGTTTAAACCAAAATTAATAATAGTCATTTTATCTACTGCTTGTTTTCTCTATAGGAAGAAAATGAACATAATATTTGATCTGCCATCTCCATAGTATCTGCAGTATAACTGAAAGGAAAATAGCGTTTCTTCTGTAAACTGTTTGTTAGTGGCATATTTTGTCTAGCTAAGGAACAAAGGTTTTGCAAGCACCTTCATTTAACCTGCTGCCAAGTACCCAGCTAGATATTTAGTGGTCCTGTTGACACTGATGATGCAGAAGTTTGCAGCAGATGTAAAGGATAGCTAAGATACCACTTTTTCAATAACATTAGAATGATTGAAGTCTTTCCTTTTCTTTGGCTGTTGTGATGATAATGCAATGTGAACATTTTTTCTTTATTTTCCAGGTCTTGTAACAGATTATCGGGTAAGTACAGTATCAATGTAATAATTAATAATATTACTTGTATGTATTTTTAGGACTTTATTTTCCATTAGTACCATAAACTTCCAAACTTTATGTTTATTTACAAGAAGGATGCAGCTCACTAAATTTTTTAACAAACAGAAATTTGGGGTTTTTTTTTGTGTTTTGAAAAAAAAAACGCTTAAAGGCAGAAATTGTCTTGCATGTGCAATATCTTCAGATTTGGGCAGCATAAAGAAATTTTCTAAAGTTGTGGGTTTGGTGTTTTTTTCTTTAACATAGTGAATAACACAATTTAAAAAAAATTAAAAGCATCTCTATTTTAATCTTTTACCATGGAAACATTGTTGTTTTGAAATGGAAAACGTGCCTGTCTTTCTAGATGCTAGCCCCACAACTTTAAACAAGCCAATGTACATGAGTTTCTCAGATACCTGTTTTTCTAAAGACTTTCAGGAGAATTCAGGATGCACAAAGAAAATTTGATTTGCCATGTGACCCTTCCATTCTGACTCCAAACTCCTTTGCCAATTTTAATTTGAAAATTTTGAGTATTAAATGGTGTTAATAAACAGGGATTAATAAAGAATAGATATTTCTTCTATTATTTGATCCACCTCCAGCAACCGCCCATAGGATGTGGCAATGTGGCTCACTTCAAAACCATGGCAGAGCATGCTTTCTGCCGTGTCACTGCAGTGGTGGCCTCTGACACGGGCTCTTCTCTCTGGGTTGCAGCACTGGCAAATCCCCCTGGGCAGGAGGTTCCGCTCCCTGAAGCTCTGGTTCGTGCTGAGGATGTACGGGGTCAAGGGGCTGCAGGAGCACATCCGCAAGGTGACTGGGAATTGCCTTCTTGGGATCCCTGTGGTGGGATGGCAAGGGAAAATGAGTTGGCTGCCTGTCTACTCTCCATGACTTCTGTACACATCAGAAAGCACAGGCAAAACAGTTTGAGGCAGCTCAGTTCAACAAGGCTGCTGCTCGTTTGCCCCATGTAAGGTCACCATTTCATATCATGGCTGCATCAAAGGTGCCATTCATTTTGTGCTCATCTTTAGGAAAGAAATGTCTCAGAATTTGGAATTTCTACAGTATGGTACCACAGTTCCCTCTCAGATTAAGCCAGAGCACATAGATGGTTTTATTGTGGAAACACATGGATATTCATTACTTCTTTATTTTATTAATGTGCATGCATTGATAGGATGTTTAGATTATGATTAAGGAATACAGTGACTTATTTGGCATGTCTGACTCTGCTGTTGCTTTTTTAATGTCTAAAATATATTTTTGTTAAAAAAAAAGAATGTGTACAATTTACAGTCTGTTGATACTGTTATAAGTACTAAGTTTATTCTTGGTGAAAAAAGGAGGGTTTTTTAATCATTAAAAAACACATGTGGCACCCATCTAAATTTTAAATGTAATTTCTCTGTAGCAGTAAAGTCAAATTCAAGCATACCTTTCCATCTTTATGAAGTTCAGGGAAACCTCTAGTGAGGGGAGATCCATGACTTGGTTCTAAATATTTACAAAAATATCCATTAGCTAAGGATCTAGCCTAGCATACCAAATTCCCTGCAGACACACATAGCTTTCAATTTTGGTACTAAACAGAAGAATTCCTAAGAAAAGCTTTGGAAGACTCATATCAGTTGCATGGCCTTTTGTCAGGCTGGTTTCCACAGGTTAGTATTTACATTCAAAAAATTCCCTCTTTCCCTGTTTCCCACATATTTCCCTGGCTGTTCTGCCAAAAGCTGCTTGTCTTCATAGAATCACAGCTGAGGACCAAGCATTGGTATTTTGTGTAACAATTCAATTCAGGAAGGCTAAGCAAATTAATATTTTCTTAAAGATATTGACTCCAAAGAAAAACCCTTATATGTTTCCTCATTTGTAAAGGTGATTCAGACAGCTAAGATTTCCAAGAGCTTGTTGAAATGAGTGTGTTTGTTTTATATTTCTAAGGACTAAATTTTTCTTCAGTACAGATATAAAAATAAGTTATGAAAAGAGAAGAGGGATAATTAGGTGAAGAATTTTTCTCACTGTATACATCTTGAAATTGGAACCATTAAATTAATTTCTCCTCATACCTCCTTACACACCAGCAATGAATGCTGGTTCAGTGGGTTCCAAAACATCTTTAAAAAAACCCCAAAAACTAATCTATATCTACAGCAAGCCTCTGTTAAACTTAAATTTCAAGAAAAAAATTGCATTTCATTTGTTCCATAGCAGAATTTAGGGTATCTCTTGTGAGTTTTCAGATATGTTGATAAAATTATATCACTAGCTGGAAAATAAAAATTCAAAATGTGTTTCTTATCTTGTACTTTTTCCTGTCTTTTCAGGAATTATCGTGAGCTCCAGGTAGATTGTGATGACTTTTCTTTTGGTAGAGTAGTAATGAAGTATCTAAACCAGCCTGAATAGGTAGGTAGAATGAGAAGAGACCTAGGAAAGGTGACAGAGGCAGGTGTTGCAGCCTTCCAGTGGAGCACAGAGGGCTGGAGCTGGGGAATCAGGAAGAAGTGCTCTCTCTCTCTCTCTCTCTCTCTTGTTAGATGAAGGAGTTGCCCCGAGGAAAGGGTAACAGAGTCGGGCAGAAGAGTGGAGGTTTGAAGCAGCTCCTTGGGCTGGAATCTGGGAAAGGAGGTGCCTAGGTTTGCTCCTAAGTCATGGAAAACTCTAGGAAGATCTGTGCAGTGTTTATAGGTTTCTAGTTAGGCTTCTTTTGTGCAGCCTGGTGTTACTTACAAAGGGATTTGAGATTTTCAGGAGATGAGCTTCTAACATGATACAGAAAGAAAAAACCACTGTAGATCCTTAAGAACCCACCCTATTCAAGTTTCTATGTGGAAGACCAAAGACGTCTGTAACTATCTCTTGAGAAACCTTTTTTCCTTGATGTAAACTGTTGCAAAAATTATTTTTCCTACTCTTTTATTAGTGTATTTTAAGGAAAATATGTTTGTTGTGTTTGCAGCCTTAAGGTCTACATCAAAATGACTGGATAACCACTGCAACTTGGCACTTGCTTGAGGATGGCATTTAGGAAGTAAAATATTCCCAGGAGATGAGAATGTGTGACTTGGATTTAGATGCAGTAACTTTTTTTGTTTTCCAAACATTCCAGTTATGCACTCTTTTCACACACAGCATGTCATATTAATCTATTGCAAAGTATAGGTTTTAAAGCAGTGGTAAAGGGGAGGATAGTCATCTTTGAAGGATGTGGGGAGAGACAAATACAAATTTTGGAGTTAAGTCCTAAAGCCACAGAGGAGATGTAAAAAGAGGGCAAACTCAACAACAACAGTCTTCTGGACTGATGCCAACCACTCGGAGTCCGTATAAATGTGAAATTCAAATGGCTCATTTGTAAATGGCTCATTTGCAAACTGCTTGACCATCTCTTTCTTATTTCTTTGTTGGTTTAAGTCTTCTCAAAGAGCTCAGAAGTAATTTGCAAAATCTAGTACGCAATCCCTATGAACATTGTGACTCTGCTGAGTCCTCCTTAGGACCAGAAGTAATCAGTGTACTGAGGATAATGAATGCCATTAAAAATTAACAGTAGAGTCCAACAAACTGGAACTGTAAAGAGCAGCAATACTAGAGATAGTATTTGAACTGGAGAGTAGCACAGTCCAAGTGGCTGTTAAGAAGACTGTTCTGGCAGCATTTCCCTCTAGTGTAGTGGAATGCAGGCTAAGGCAGGCAAAGAAGTGAAATTTATAGGAGAAAAAGTATGAAGTGATCAAGACTAGGGCAGTATGCTTATCTGCATATACACAGTAGTGTACTCTGATGCTCCAGAGAAGCTCCCTGCAATCAAAAGCTATTTTAGCTCTTGAAGGCGTTGCCCAAAAATTAAAATTCAATTTGAACACTTTAATGCAGAAGCATTCAAATTTAAATTTATATTTATATTCATAAGTTTTGTTATTTACTCACAGACATACATAGGAAAATAAAGATGTTTTTTTAAATAGGGACCACTTCTTAGTGCCTCACAAGTTTACTGTTCCTATTACTGATTATGTAAGACATTTCCCTTAATCCAGAATAACCAAATTAATTAGATCCCTTGTTTCCTTTCTCACTCTTCTGTAGAAGAGCAAAGGTTATGTACCTGAGATAGAAGTGACACATAACAATCCTCTTTTTTTCAATCAGCTAAATTGTACTGCAAAGACTGGGGCTGTTGTTCTGTTCCTGTACACAAAGATACTTCAGGACACTAGCACAGTCCATGTGATTCCACTGTGAGAACGCACCTGATGGAGGGATTGCTCAAATGGCAGTTTTAGAAACAGTATATGAGTTGGTTTGCTTATGCCCACACTTTTGTTAAATCAAATAACAGCTCTAATAAAATAATTTCGAAAAGTTAAATAATATTTGAACACCAACATCAAGTTAATGGTGCTAGGGACACAGCTTGACACAGATGTCAAAATCAAAAGCACTTGGAGAATAAAGATATCCATAGGGCAGGCTTGGTATGTACAAATTCAGCAGAAAACTGACAACAGCCTGTCAGTCTTTTGCTTCTTCTTCTTTCCTATCCTCAGTTTCAATGCCTGCAGTTTTATTTTCACAGTGTACCCGCCTCTTTTGAAAAGCTGAAGCACTAAAGCCACATGTGTCCTCCTGTGAATTATTGCCATGCTCACATCCAGAACGTGTGTACAGCTTTTGGACTTAGAGAGGCACGTGTGACACCTAAATGCCCTGCAGTTCCACAGAACTTGGACTTCCAGGCTTAAAAATATTTAACTTCCAGGCTCAATAATATTTAACTTTACTGCTGCAGCAATCTCTGTAAGAGCAATTCAGGATAACAGCTTATGGTTCAAAGGTGCAGGGCCTTGGGTAAAGCTATACACGTGAAACTCCAGTTAAATCCCCTCTTTCTCTCATTCCAGTTCAGTAAAACCTAAAACACTTGGTGCCCCCCAGTGTCTTTACCAATTATTGCTATTTGTTGAGACTTGCTGTGAATAAAAGTATTTGCATCCAGACATGAATGCAAATTGCTTCCAGAATTATGGTTTGTGACTTACCTCAAAATTTTCTATTTTCCCTTTTATTTCTTTCGAATTCCTGAAAAATCATTTAGTTCAAGAAGTGGACATAAGTACCTGCTATAACATGCACAGCTTGCATCTGGAGTTTTCTTGTACAAACTTCTTACAGTAAGCCAGATCTTAAATGTTTGCTTTATTCAATTCTTACCCAGATAAATTTTGATGAAATTCAGCTGGTGATTACATTCACCTGGACAGTTGTGAAATACTTATCTCATTGAACATGATTTGTTTTATGGCTTTGATTTCCAAGACATGGTACATGCAGTGCAGAATTTTGTGGAGCTATGTAAAAGACATATTTGATTAAAGCTATAGAACATGAGGGTAGGAGGAGACAGTAAAAGCCTATTAAAACACCTGTGCCTATTTTACATATGTTTTTCATGCACGTGTTATGCATACAAGTATCTGTATGTATGCAGATACTTCTGGTTGGATTTCACAGCTATAAATTCATGCTCTGTGTATTAGCAGAATGTTCAAATGCCTTGGAAGGGATTGAGGGTTTTATTGGTCTCATTCCTGACTCAAAGAGCTTTCAGGCTAATTTTAGAGGGAGATGATAAATGGATGTAACAAACAGCAGAGCGGAAGTGGTAACAACAGGAAAACTGGCTGGTTACATAGGGTACCAGTAAGCCCAATATGAAGGTTTTGAAGAAATATTTTGATTCAATCTAAACTATGTTTTTCTATTTTAAGAAATAAAAAAAACACCAGAAAGCTATGATTAAGATTGCAAAATGTGTTGGGTTTTTTCTTCTTTCTTTTTCCCTTTTCTGTAGCTTCTGTTTTGCCTTGTCCTTTTGGAAGAAGTTCCTGTGAGATGATACATTCCACATTTACCCTTGACCCAAAGTAATATGTTTCATTTTTGTTTAATAGCCGTCTTTGAACTTACAAAAAGTCAAAGTGCAAAAGCACGGGCTTAGTTGTTTATTTTTGTAAAATTATTTGCAATCCTAAATATATAAAAGCTGAAAAATCTTTAAACTTGACTTCTAGGTGTTTCAGATAATTTTTGGTATAGATTGGCTATTGCATGAAGACAAACTATAATTCAAATGGCTGGTTGCTGTTGTCTTACCTTTTTTTGTTGGTTGTTTGGTTGTATTTTTTGGCTTTTTCTAGAATAGTGAACACTAAGTTAATGGTATAGCCAGTAGGAGGGGGACTGGATAGGGTACTGCAGGTATCTGATGAGGATATGTGTTGGTTTTTTGAAAGTGCTTTTAAATTAATTTTCTCTTTGAAAGAAAGCAAAGAAAAACATGGTATGAGTATGCAAGTATCACTGACTAATGTTAAGGCTTCCCAGCTGGATTTTAGTATGTCTCCTGGTATTTTTCCTATTTATTTGAATTTTGGTTTCATCTTCTTCGAAATAATTGCTCTAGCTTGGTGCCCAGTGTCATCCTTTTTTGCCTCAGTAACTTCTCCACAGGTTTACTGAGATTTGCTGTCCATTTTATTGCTTATACTGCCATCAGCTTTTTTTTCAACTGAACCTGAGCACCCAGGTCAGAATAGTGAGCAAGTTCTCCCTTTCTTCACAGGTTTCTCATATTAAGTGAGCTATTTTAAAAAGTGTATCTTCCCAGCTCAATTTTCACTGAAATTGTGACAATTTTTTCCCTGTATATCTGTGCACTTCCCCCTTTCCCTCTAATGACTTCTGGATTCTTTAGCCATTCCCAGCCAAAACTAACAGTGGTGTAAAACCTAAAGTAGAATTATTAAAATTATTTACTCTTAATGTGGTATCATATCAAATTGTGCTGAAATGTCTCAAGAAGCAGACCAGCACTGCCTAAGACAGACTGAGATCCTAATACAGCAATGGCTCCATATGGTCTCTGGAAGTCATAAACGGGATGGAAGTTAACACAAACAGATGGCAATATGTGAATATTATCACACAGCAGCAGAAGGAAACAAGCAATGGAATGGAAAATACTTCAGCACACCTTTTTTCTTGGTGAATCAAATGTATTCAATGTAGATACTCTTTCTCTTCTCAGCACATTAGACTGTCGCATCAATTTGAGCACTTAGTCCTTCAGGATGAGAGGTTTGAGATCTGTGCTGAGGTTGTTTTGGGACTGGTCTGCTTCCGGCTGAAGGTAAGGCAGCTAAGATCTCCCATTTCTTCTCTCATGGTTTATAGCAACACCAGAACCTGCAATTGAATAGTCTTTGTAGTTGATTATTTTTTAAGGGAAGTAAAGCGAGTTTTTTTAGAACAAAGCAGATGACAGAAAAAAGCTTTAGACAATTTTGTTAAAATTGAATCAAAAGCTTAAGAGAAATTAAAGCATATTAAGGTATGGAAACATACAGTCAAGGCAAACAAGTGTTTAAACCAGTCATATAAAATTACTTACATTCTGTGTGTGGGAGCTTTGATAAAGATGACTGTTTTAGTATTTCCCTAGACTTCTGAATATGATGAGTATTACTTGTTTCTTGTCAAGTTAATTTCTTATATGTATATATTTAATATTCTATTTTATTTTAAAAAAAACTGAGTTAAAAATCAGAGCACTAAACACTTTTATCTAAAGAGTGGTTTTTCATCTATAAAATTTGATGGTAAAACTGGGAAAATAGAAGTAAGATGTGTTTAGAACAGGTTACATGGGAGGCCAACTTTCCTGGTCTGCTTTTTATTGCTGAACATGATCCTTTTGCCCAAAATCTCTCAAAGTGCCAAGTTCATTGATGTGGAGGCCTTGCCCAATGGAAACTAGAAAATTCTTTCTGCACTTGGAACATAAAAGCTGCAGTAGCTGGGAGAGCTCATTTGTTTCAATTAGCCATTAAAAGGGGATCAGTGTCTCAGTTTAGGTAAAGCAGTAATTTTCTAGAAGAGCTTGCAGCTAAAGCCTCTGCAGAGGACTGCATTGTAACACTGAATCTGATCACCAAGCAACAATAACAATAACAACAGCACTAGTGTTTTCTAGTTAATGTGATACCTAAATGAGCTTCTAGTTTTTCAGAAGGCTTGCAAGCACATCTTTTCTCCTTCTGGGTAGTTTATTTTTAACAAATTCTTTTCTCAGTCATTCAGTTGCCCCAGTTACCTGAGTTTGATGCAAATAGCTGAAGAAGCTAACAAGTAAATAGTAAAGTAATGGTGAGTTCAGCTGAAATAGGAAAATGGTTTTGTTTGAATTTATAATGTTTAAAATTAAATTTAAAAAGACCCCATGTTTAAGGGATCAGACAGATTACAGAATGTAGTTTTTCCAGTCAGTGGAAACATGAATATAATCTATTTCCTAACAAGAACTTTTAAAATATGTTGAGGGATAGATTCTGTGGCTTTTATTGCTCAATAACAAAATGTTGGTTGCAGTCTGCTCTCTCACATGGAACAAGCAAACACTAGTTTTGCAGATCCAGACACAGCTGTTAGTCAGTGCTCTACATCTACTTTGAAGGAACAGTTCTGGTGAAATAGAGCATAGCAACACAGGAATTGTCACTTTTGATCAGACCAGTAGCTCATCTGCATCTGTTCTCCTGTCCCTCAAGATTCAGAGGAAGAAATCACATCTAAAGGGAAGGACAATTTTACAATAGGAGGTAAATGTTGGACCTTTAGCAAAGAAATAGTTGAACAAGTTGCAGAATAAAGGCCTGATTCCACTGAAACCCAGTGTTAAAAGAGCAGTGTTTTTATTTCTTGCCTACCCAATCCAAAAAAAGAAAAAAACCTAGCAAGCTTTCAAATTAGGTTTTTATAGCTATTTTAGCAGCTTTAATTGCTGTTTATATCACTCCTTCAAAAATCTGTCATTTTTATAATTCATATAATCATATAATTCATACAACTTAGAAGTAGGATATTTGTAACTTTTACGTAGTTACAGTAGGATTAAGGGTCAGGGGACTTGAACTATATAATACTGCAGAGCTGTAAAAGTACAACTATTTTTTCTTACTTCCTTTGTTCTTGAGAAGCCCTTTTAAATTTTTTTTTGCTTAGCTGTAACTTTTAATTCTTTGTCTTTCACACTGTTGAGCAAATGGACTAATTACCTATGACTTTCATATTATAATTATTTCATCAAATATGTCATGCCAAAGGGTTAGTTTTAGGCCTCCTTGTCATGACTGCAGATGAATACAAGTCAAGCTAGTAATTTCTCCAAGGGGGTGAGAATGCTGTCTTATTGAAGCTCACAGACTCAATCAAAGCTGCCTTCTCAAAGCTCTGGGAGAGGATTAGTCACTACCAACTTCAATTTGACGTGACACCCGAGTGTCACAGCAGCCCTAAGGTGGAGCTGTGAGAGTAGAAGAGAAGAAAGATAAATGAATCTTTCTTCTTCCTCCCTTTGCTCCTGCCAACTTAACATCATATAACTGCTTGTATTGCCTGAAAGTCAGTGCTGTGCATTTGATATTAAAGGCAAGGATTGTCATTTTAATAATGCATTGCGTTTGATAAGAAAGCAGGACATCATTGTCAGCAGTGACTGACCTGTGATAGGTGGGGACTTACAAAACACCAAAGTTGGTCCATTTACTTAGTTAGGAGCATTTCAGTCTCATAAATATCTCCTAGAAGAGTAAAGCTAAGCCATGAACTTTAGGACTTCACACCAAATTCATAATGACTTGTGGTAAGACAGAACAAAATTTTGACTTTAGTTCAACTCTTAATGCTTAATATAGCCTAAAATGTGAGAGTGATGCATTTATCCTTGCTGCCAGTAGGAAACTGTCTGCCTTATGCTTTGGTTTTATATGGAAAAGGCGAAGCAGGAAAGTCACAATTGAATTTCAGAGGTGGTGTTTTCTGGTCAGGATGTTTTCAAGAAGACCAATATTGCCACAGTAACACAACTGCTGCTGAACAGAGGGATTTGTCCATTTGTAACTCTTTTTCCATAGCCAGTGCTCAGTAAGGGGGCACTGCAGTAAAAATGCAGATGCTCCCAGAATCTCTTGCAATTATGCATTGCCACCAGTGTAATAGAGAGAGTAAAGGTTGCACAGTACCTAAGATATTTCCTCTGATGGATTCTGTGGTGGGTAACTCCTATAGAAGTTGAGGCATATACTTTTTTAGGGTTTCCACTGATCATATGAAACCTAATTATACCAGGGATATATTACCTTAAGAAATTTTTAATTAAGGGTAAGATTTCATATTCAAAAGAATCTCTCACAGCAGCCATGCTTAAGTGAGGAAAGTTATTACAGCTCACTGCAAAAGTTCCTCCCATGTTTGTTTGATTAGATCCAAGAAGAGTGCAATAACATAGATACAATAATGAATGCTTTTAATGTAGCTCATGACCTCAGGTCACAAAAAGGCAGTCAGCTATCACAAATGCCCCAGTGTGAGCACTGATTCTAAACTGAAGGTAATCTCTAAAGCACTTTGTGGCTCAAAACTTCTCTCTTACATCTCAACATCTTTTTGTGATCCTTTGAGGACAAAGCACTGAGAGATGAGAGGGTGACTGCTTGTTACTGGTGCTACTTCAGCTTGGCTGCTTGGTGGGATTTACATTTTCCAGAATTGTTTCTGAAATTCATTGCCATATCCATTGAATTACAATGATTTCAGGGCTCAAATGAACTAAATGAGGCACTTCTAAAAAGTATAAATGATGCCAAGAAGATCCATCTGGTCCCGTGCCACCTGCGAGAGAAGTTTGTGCTACGTTTTGCTATTTGTTCCCGCACAGTGGAATCCACCCACATCAAGTTTGCCTGGCAGCACATCTCACAGCTGGCAACTGATCTTCTGAAAACATGGGAACAAAATCACCACCAGCAGTAGCAGCAGTGAAGTATAAGTGGAGATGAGGTAATTAACTGGTTTTCTCTGTGTTGCCAAGTTTTATTTTAGGTGCAGGTGGGAAAGTCAAACTATGAAGGAAAAAAAAGTACAAAACCTGTTGTTATATAGCCCAGCTGCAGTAGCAAAATCCATGCCAAGTTGAGATGTAACCATAATCTTTCCTTCTCTGTACTGTAGTTTCATCTTGCCTGTTTCCAGGATGCACATAGCCAAGGAGAATTGAGCTGTCATTTCTTACCAGTCTGTAGTCAAGAGCATTTTTTCAACCAAGCAATGGAAATGGAAGGGTTGGTGCTCCCTCCACTGTCCCCATTCACCTCTAGCACACCCCCTCCTTTCTTCACAGATGAAACTAAGAGGTCTTATAGCCAGTTAATTTAACATTACTATGACTGCAGGAAGAACCCAAGTTGGGGAAGTTTAGTTAGGGTTCTAAATATGTTAGTATCTGAATAGGCATGCACAAATGTTGCCAAGATTTGGGGCACTATCATGTCACGATACACTTGCTGCAGGAATTCTGTAAATGAACAAAGGACAAAGGACTTCAAGACTTCCTTCATTGCATGGCCAGACTTAGGGGAATGAGCACTAATCAATTACTAATTATCCTTCTCACAGGTTCTCTACTTTCCCCAAATTGTTTGCTTTTAAAACAGCCATTTTGTCAAATTCCAGCAAATAAGTTATGCTGGCTATTGGTTTCCATACTGATCATTCATAATGAGGTCCCTGAAAAGCTCCTCCTAAAGAGTTTTGTCAACAGCTATGTGCTACCTGGTATTCTATATTTTTAATCAAGTTATTATCAGTGATTACTTGAAAATAGTCAGTAAGATATGTTCTGCACAACTGAGTTGTGATTTTTTTATAGCTACCATTTTGATTACTTCATGGTGTAATAAATCTTTGACAAAATGTGGTAAGAAATGTGATGTCAAAAATATTATTACTCTTGGTTTCTCAAATTAGCTAGGAAACGAGTAAGCAAGTGACAATAAAAATAAAAAGTAAGAGAATGAATCCCCCATATCAGCTTTGGTGTCCCCATCAGTGGTTTTCTTCCATTAACAGTGATGAATGGAAAATGAAAATACTGGAAAACCTCTTTCTGAGAAAGTCAAATCATACATATTTGACACAAATCATTGATACATCATCCTGTCAAAGGCAGGCACAGTAAAGAGCTAAAATGAAAGTTAGAGGTGAACGTCAGAACAATATCAAATCAAGAAGTACTTTTGCCATTTTAAAAACATAAATTCCAGACAGTTATTTCTGTGTAAATAAGAACAGCTGCTCTGAGAATAAACAGAATACTAATAAGAATACTCCAAATAAGAGTAGCTGCTCGAAGAAAAATAATAGGTAGGATTCATTTCTACATTTGCATTTCAATCTTCCTTTTTAATGCTCGTATTAACTTCTACAGTCTGTTGAGCAATGTGCACAACTATTCAGTTTTCTTTCTCCATCCCTTTCAAGCATACTTCCTACAGCTGGGAAGTTGCAAGTAGACCTGGGAAAATGGATCAGGACAGTTAATTTGGCATGTGGTCTGCTCCTCTGTCTTTCCTAGTCCCCTACTTCTGGGGTGCAAACTGGGAAGGATTGCTATTTCCATAAGGAACTGCTTTCCCAGGTAACAGATGAAGAAAGGGATAACCAATGAATTTGGTAAAACCCAGTAACACTTGAGCAGGTGACTGACACAAGACAGTCAGCTACAGTGTCAGAAATTTTGACAGCACCATTCTCTTCAGAACCAATATGAAATCCAGCTTCTCTGTGGTAGCACAATGCAGAAGATTGGTACACTGAAGAGAGTGGAAAATGCTGGCAGTTGTTGCCTTTCCCTGTTACTCTGTTTTTTTAAACAAAATATTCAGATCGCATGACCTGGAAAACAACATTCATCCATAACATGTATCTTCCACACTGATACAATTTTACAACTTTTACATTATGAAAACTCTAGAATCTTGGAACCAAAGAATTACACTTCTCTGTGAGACAGACTAGTATTTTGTATGTGAAATATATAACCAGGACTGTCCAGGAAAAAAAAAAAAAAAAAAAAAAAGAGAGAGAGAGAGATCAGATTTGGATCAAAGCTATCACAGACTAAATCCAGGATAATTCCACTGAAATGAAATGGAGTTGATTTGGGCTTAGGTGACTATAATTGAAATTAAAAATCTGACTAATAAGTATTGGAAAAGAAAGGCCTAAGGTAAGGCACCCCTAAACTGAACATAAGAAGATTCTGCTGGAAGTCTGCTCCATGGAAACCAGAGCAGAGGTGAATGATGCCTGCCTGTTCAAGCCTCAAACTGCTTTAAAACTGGGATGCAGGCAGGATGCACACCCAAACCTAGGAGAGGTGAAATGTCCTCAACAACCCAGAATTAGACATTGATCCCTTTAGACATTTGTGGGAAAATACTGCCAAAACTGACACTGAATTAAACATTTCTCAGTATCTGGATATCAGTTTAAGAAGTGGCTGTTGTCCAGATACAGAAACTCCTGTTGGCGAAGAATTTAAGATAAAGGCTAATTTAAAATATAGATAAGCAAAAGTTAATTTTTCGGGTTTTTTTTTTAAAGAAGTGACGTTAGTAAATCTGTCTAATAAGCAGCAGTGATGAGGCCCATGGAATTACATTTCCCCCTGGCTAGTCCAATATCAAAACCTGAAGTTCACAGTTCTGGTGTTTCTGAAATTATAGAATGATTCAAGTATGTAACAAGTGAAGGCCTTCATAGTATTCAGTCTCTCAAACCTTCTTTTCTCCATGTGATAATTCCTTCTTAGACTATTAACATTAGGTCATCTGAAAAGGAAATGTGGGCTGTGTAATCAACTCAAGAAGAAGCATTGAAAGGAAAGTTTTAAAAAAGAACGTAACTGCTGTTTCTGTCCTGTAGCTTTGCAACGTATCTGTAACTGAGAAACACTGTATTTATGAATAGTTAATGTTAACCTGGATTTATTGTGCCTTGTGTGCAAAAGCTAATATAGCCTGTGCCGATGAATACTGTTTGATAGTAAAAGTAATTACAAAATCCCAAAACTGTACTTTAGTAGAATATCCACATCTCAAGGAAGACTGCGGCTATTAGAGAAGGAGGGAAAAACCTGACTTTTACTTTCAGGAACCTCAATTTATTTTTTTTAAACTAGCAGAGTACAGTACTTACATTCTTAATGACAGATTATATTTTATTACTGATGGTGAAATAATGAAAATGTATGTATTTATGAAAGTATTGGTAATATATTTTACTCTGAACTGCATTATAATTATTAAATTTTTAATTTTTTCTTGTGTTTACATACAAGATTCTGCTTATGGCTGTTTTGTTGTTGTTGAAGTACTACTCATCACCATGTGTGATGAGTAGTAATCACATTAAAATTGCCTTACAACAGCAGTCTAAACCTTGGGATATGTAAACTTGAATTGCTCAAAGACAACAGCAAATGAGAAATAAAACTGAGGATCCTGAAGATCAAGGTGGTTGGCGAGGGCAGGTTAAATAACCATCAATGGATAATATCTGTATATCATATGTAGAGTTTGTATGTGCTAAGTGGAAAAATAATCAGAAGTCTAATGCTCTAATTATGATTTGTGAGCTGTTGACTCCCTTTAAAATCTGTACCCAAAGGCTCCTGAATACACATATTTAATTGGCAATATAAATAAACCAAAACAAAACTACAGCTATTGTCCCTTTCTACTTAACTAAGCTGTTCTCGTCTCGTTCATGCCAGATGTGCTGTAAGAGGCCCAACTTCCCCACTCATATCAAGTCAGTGCCCTGACTTTCACCACCAAGACTTTTTTCAATGCGTCCTTCAATTGCTTTGCATATGGGAGTTGGCAAATTTTCCTGCAGGAAGATTCCTCCTCAGCAACAGGAATCTGAAAAGTACCTGGACATATCCAGAAGGGCCAGTGCTGACCTTTCTGCCAAGTTCTGCACAGTGCTGCAGCTGGATCTGCCACTGGAGCCACGTGCCCAGCTTTGGCTTTGGTTTGTAGCTCCGGTGCCATCCAGTAGGACAGGGAAGGGACCCCTGGCTGCAGCCCACATCCCCAAGGCTGCTTTGCTCCCTGCCTCTGTGCAATCCCAGGGAGATCAGGCAAGCATGCCTCGGGAGAAATTTGATGGCGGCAGCATCACACGCTATTTAAATGTTAGCCCACTTGGGTCTGAGATGATAGCTTGCATACCAGCGCAGTTTAATGTGCTGTCTGCACTGATGGCATAACAAGCCTGATGTATAACAAAAACCTGACAGTAACTGCAGGAAAGGTTCCTCACGGGAAATAAAATGTTCACCCACTCAGAAGCATCTCTGTTAATACCAGAGGTGTAACTGCAGCTTAGAGTGCTCATTTGCATCTAGATTTGTGTGCTAATTTGAACGTGGGTTGGTGTGATCTAGATGGGGACTCCGCCACCACACTCAGTTCATGGGATACTTCCACATGGACCAGCATCTTCTGCCCTGTATCAGCGTGTCATTCTTCTTGTCCTTGTCAGAGCTGCTCTCCCAAAAAGGGCTGTGCAGCAGCTGTGGTTCGTTTTCAGGAGTGTTAGACAGAGTCCCCTTGTGACACTGCCGTGGTGGCTGTGGCGGTCCTGCAGCCGGTGCACAGCGGTAGAGATGACACAGGTGGCTGCAGAGGTCAGGTCTCGTGTGCCTAAGGGCCAGGTACCCATCACAGGCTGCCAAGCCACCGCCAGGGCTTTGTGCTTGGGCCATCACTGATGGAACCTGCCGCCTGTGGAGCCGGCCTGCACGGAGGGCTGCTGCCAAGGACAGAGCCCGGGACACACTGTCCTGGCCGCCTGTGAGCCGAGCACAGGGCATCCAGAGGGCCTTCCGACCGACTGCCAGGAGAGGAACAAACAGCGGGCAGCGGGGAATGCTGGTGGGATGCTCTGCCGGTTTGGGCAGCCAAAGCCGAGTTTGACACAGGAAGAGCCACGGCAATTCTGCTCCTTAAATCACCGAACTGAAGGTAAAGACCTCGTCTGCCTCACAGAAATTGCACATCTCCACGTTTCTACTGCTACTGAAAATGGCCTGGACAGGCAATAAACGTGACAGAACCTGTTACGTTCTCCAGCCTCTCCCTTCTCGGTGCTGTGACCTTCAGCGGAGGAACCAAGGCCCGACCAGAAAGCTTTTTCAGAAGGGTGCGAGCAGGGCTGGCAAGGCGCGGCAGCCGAGACACCGGCACCCGGGAGCGCCCGGGGCCGCCGGCAGCGGCTTCGGCGGGAGACACGGGAGGGACCCGGGAAGGACGGGGGGAGACCAGGGGACACGGGACGGACCCGAAGGGCACACGCTGAGGGATCCGGGAGGGAACACACCAAGGGCACGCGGGACGCACGCGGAGGGCGCACGCGGAGGATTCCCCCCCCCCCGACCCCTCAGAGCAGGCGCGCGCACCCCCACGCGCTGCACTTGGCGCGGAGCCGGCCCCGCCTCGCAAGGCACGGACCCCGCGCCCATTGGTCGGCGAGCACCTCCGGCGCAGCCAATAGGGAGCGCCCGCCCTGTCGCGCGCCGTCCTTCCCAGCGCTGCGGGTGACGTCGTCGCGGCAAACTCGCCCCTCTCCCCCTCGGCCCGTCCTCCCGGTCTCTGATTGGCTGAGTCTCCCGGCGCGCTGTTACCCGATTGGCGGGCGGGGTGGGGACGGGCGCAGAGCGGGCGCGCGCGGTTGGCGGCGGCGGCGGCGGCCGGTGGGTGCGGGGCGCGGGAGCGGCACGGCCGGGACTGAGGGGACGGGGAAGGGAGAAGGGAGAAGGGAGGGAGCGGCGGGACCCTCTCGGGGCTGTGGCCTCCGCTTCCCGTGCCCTGAGGGGGCATCCGCCCGCCGCCGGGCCGGCCAGGGCTCCTAAGCTGAGGGGCCGTGGTTGCCGGCTGGGTAGGGGCGGCGAGGGCTCAGCCATGCCCAGGCAGCTTCCCGGCCGGATTCCCGGCTGGATCCCCGGCCTGAGGGCAGTGAAGGGGCGGCTGTGTCCCGTACCTGGCTGTGTTTCCCCGGGCCCCGAGCTGGGCGAGCTCGTGTGCGGCGGCAGCGGCGGCTCCCGCCCGCTCCGCGCTGAGGCGAGCGCGCAGCCGAGTGCCGGATCCATTGGCAGTGCTTGGATACAGCCCCGGCTGCAGGCGTGCGCACGGAGTACCCTGGCCTCGTCTGGGAACTGTTCTGGCTGAGCGTGTGTGCATGTGGCTCGCTTGGAGAGAAGTTGTAAGGCTGGGAGGACTATTAACATGGGTTAGACCGGGGGAGAGAATGGTGCCCGACGGTGTTTAACATGTATATAAATAACTAAAGGGTGGGTGTCGAGAGGGTGGATCCAGGCTCTTCTTGGTGGTGCCGAGCAATAGGACCAGAGGCAATGGGCAGAAACTGAGGCATAGGAAGTTTCACTTGGATGTGAGGAAGAACTTTACTGTGGGAGTGATCATACTGGAACAGGGTGCCCAGAGAGGCTGTGGAGTCTCCCTCACTGGAGATGTTCAAGAACTGTCTGGACACAATCCTGTGCCATGTGCTCTGGGATGACCCTGCTTGAGCAGGGAGGTTTGACCAGATAACCACTGTGGTCCCTTCCAGCCTTGCCCATTCTGTTATTCTGAGAATAATCAATCTGAAATCTCAAACTGGTTACCACTGTTCACTTGTTTTGACCTTCCCTCAGTGCTATGAAGGTGACCACTGAATCCTTAAGAAAGTGGTGGTGGACTTGAGATTTTATGTTCTGAATTATGCAAGCATTTCTTTGGGGCAAAACTTTTCCAGAATTTATGCTTTTGTATCACTTAAGATATTTTTGATTCAACAGTTACAAAAAATAATTACGGGCACAGTGAAAGCCATTTAGAGAAAAGAAGTAAAAGGCTGCAGCCTTTTATCTCCTGTTCATCTGTCACTCAGCTGTGGATGGATGATGATGTGAGTTTGTATCAAATTTTCTTGGTGCAAGTTACACTTCTCACAGTACAAAAGTTGGCAGTAACTCTTCGGTGAGCAACTCTTACTTCTGTGGTTCGATTCTGTTTGTTTTAATTGGATTTGCTTGTAGAAATGCCAGATTTGCAGGTAAAATGTATTTTGACTTTTCTAAACAGCTCTACAAATTTGGGCTGTAGTAAAAAAATTCAAACCAAAATGATTTACATCCTTGTTACTTGTCGTGTGTGTAACCATATAAGCATATGAGCAATAAACATACTGTGCTCTCTGTTGTCTGATGCTGATGCCAGACTTTTTGCAAACAATTAGGGAGGACACCCTCACATAGCGTTGATTCCTTCAGTTCCCCAGCCTGGCATGAGCATTGCACCTGTACTTTCCTCTGCAATCCTACGCAGTCCATAGCTGATCCAGAGGATTGCAACTTGACACACACTCTGTTGGAAGGGTGCAGAGTATATGGACGTGACACTTGGCAGAGAAAGAAAGTACCTCGTGAACGTGGGCAAGTCATTTCAAGTCAAACAAAATACTCCTCCTGAGCCAAATGTCATCTTCCCTGTTTCTTAAAAGAAACCCAGCACTAAAGGAGCTTAAATTCCACTTTCTGAAACTGAGAAACAAGGATTGCTTTAAACACACAAGATCTTTTCTTTAAAGTGTAAAATGGGGACCTTCTATTGCCTTCTAAATAGAAGAAATAGTTTTGAACATTTTCTAGTAATCTGCTAATATTTTCTTAATATGAAAGCTTGCTACATTCAGGATTATTCATTCCATTTTTATCTCCCCTCCAAGACACTGCACGCAATTTTACTTACTAGCTTAATTGTTTCATTTTTATTGCCATCACTGGAATGGATTAAATCGTTCTGACAGTGGTGTATCCTCTGTCCTCTGCTGCACTGTGCCATATTCTGTCAAATAAGAATGAAAGCACTGGTGATTTCATTTAACAAGGCCAGTTTTTGCTTGGCCATCTGTTACCATTCTTTGCAGCCTACTTACCTCCCCAGGAGACCTCTGGTTAGAAGCAAACTCTCTTTTTTCTTTTTCCCCCACTTTTTTCTTTTCTTTGGACAAGGAAGAAAAGAGAACCTCAGCCTAAATGCCTTTGCACCACAAAGCTGGTTGCTTTTTGAAAAGATTAAAGTGTCCAGACTGGCTAAGTAGCTTGCAAGACCTCCTGCTCTATTTCTCACAGTTAAAATAATGTAGGTTTTCCTGTGTAAGTATTTAGGAAAGGGGAGAAGCAGCTGGTGCAAATGGTGTGAAATGGCATTTTGTAACTGCAGGTATTTTCTGTCTGTTCCAGCGTCAGTGATGGGGGCCCCCACCCCCAGCGCGGTGCACCTGAGTGACTGGCAGGAAAGTCACTTTGCTGTCACCTCTGGCACCTGCACGCCCAGGCAGAAGGCAGATGGATACCGTGCCAAGATCCTGCGCATTCAGTATGCATGGGCAAACTCCGAGATCTCCCAGGTCTGCGCTGCCAACCTGTTTAAGAAGTACGCAGAGAAATACTCCGCGATTATTGACTCTGGCAACGCAGAGACCGGCGTGAATAACTATGCGGAAAACATTTTGACTTTGGCAAAATGTCAGCAAAGTGACAGTGACAAGTGGCAATCTGCCTTGACAACAGATAACGTGTTTGAGTTGAAGTGTGTGCGAGAGAGGATGCAGGCTGGCAAAATTTTCCAGAGCTCTCAGATGGCACCGACAGATGCCCGTGTACGAGCTGATAAAGGGGTCAGCGCCTCCGCGGCTCCAGCTCTTCCTAAACTCGATGTCTTCGGCAGTACCAGGGAGACTGAGCTCACTGCTGGCTCAGCAAAATGTGTGAGTCAGGCACCAGATCTTCTTGGGCATCCCTCATCTTCCAAGTCACTTCAAAGCAGTGTGCCTCCTGTGACCAGGACTCCAGACACACTTCCTGCCACAACAGCCTCCTTAAGCAAACAGGTTCTTCCAGGTTTCCAGGCAACTCCGCTCTTTGGAAGCAAAGAAGCCACTAATAGTAGTTCTCTGAAAATGTCAGGTAACTGTTGTGATGGACAAAATTCGTCTCTTTTCAGCCAGTCAGCTGTACCTGCCTGGTCTGCAAATTCTGGGAAAAGAAAAGCGTTCTATGGTCTGGCTGATGAAGGCAGCACAGCTGTTCCCAGCCTTGCTCCATGTCAGGCTTCCATTTCTACAGAAACTAATGGCTTTTCAGGGCAGAGAAACAGAAATGAAGAAAGCAGTGCTCTTGGGTTTAAAACTGCAAAGGAGCAGCTGTGGATGGATCAGCAAAAGAAATGTCAAAACCAGCGTGCACCAGTTTCGTCATATGGAGGCATGAAAAAATCCCTGGGTGCAGGCAGGTCTCGGGGTCCATTCAGCAAGTTTGTGCCTCCAGTTCCAAAACAAGATGGAAGTGAAAACGGAGGAGCGCAGTGTAAGCCTCATGTCGGGGAATCAACAGACCCATTGCTGCCTGTGGATGAGCGGCTGAAAAACATAGAACCAAAAATGGTTGAACTCATCATGCACGAGATCATGGACCACGGGCCTCCGGTCAGCTGGGATGACATTGCTGGAGTCGAGTTTGCCAAAGCCACTATAAAAGAAATAGTGGTGTGGCCCATGCTGAGACCAGACATCTTCACCGGCTTGCGTGGTCCTCCGAAAGGAATTCTGCTTTTTGGCCCCCCTGGGACTGGCAAGACCCTCATAGGCAAGTGCATCGCGTGCCAATCTGGAGCAACTTTTTTTAGCATCAGTGCCTCCTCTCTGACTTCCAAGTGGGTGGGTGAGGGGGAGAAGATGGTCCGTGCGCTGTTCGCTGTGGCGCGGTGTCAGCAGCCAGCGGTGATTTTCATCGACGAGATCGATTCCCTGTTGTCCCAGCGCGGAGAGGGGGAGCATGAGTCGTCCAGGAGAATAAAAACTGAATTTCTGGTGCAGTTAGATGGGACAACAACCTCCTCTGAAGATCGTATCCTGGTGGTTGGAGCAACAAATCGACCCCAGGAAATTGATGAAGCTGCCCGAAGGAGACTGGTGAAGAGACTGTACATCCCTCTCCCAGAAGCCTCCGCCAGGAAGCAGATTGTCACCCGGCTGATGGCAAAGGAGCACTGCTCTCTGAATGAAGAGGAAATCAAACTCATAGTCCAGAAAACCGATGGGTTTTCTGGGGCAGACATGACACAGCTGTGTCGGGAAGCTTCTCTGGGCCCTATCCGCAGCCTGCAATCCATGGACATTGCGACCATCACGCCGGAGCAGGTACGGCCCATCTCTTTCCTGGACTTTGAGAGTGCCCTGAGGACGGTGCGGCCCAGCGTGTCCCCCAAGGACCTGGAGCTCTATGAAACCTGGAACCAGACGTTTGGCTGCGGCAGATGAGCTGCATCGCAGCTGTTGCACAGGAGCAGTTCAGGATTTCGGCACCGCCACGTATTAAACCTGTGGCTGTTTAGTGCCTCTGCACTTTGTTTTGTTTCTGTCCTGGAATTAAAACTTCTCATGTTATACAGGCAGATGTCCAGGCTCTGGCTGAGGCTTTGCCAGCTGAAAAGACCATGAGGAACTGCTGCTCATGATAAGAGAAGTCGCTGAACAGCAGTGGCATTGAGAGGCTGGCAGCATTTACAGGTTGCTGGGAGAGATGGAAACAAATGTCACCGATGTTTAAGGGGAAGGCTATCAAACCTCACAAATAATTGAAAGGAATGTTGGAGAAATCTTGCAAGGTCCACCAGGCTGTGTCAGTAAGGGATTCAAGTAATAGCAGAAATACCCATTTTGGGTAGGAGTATGGCAAAACTGGATAGAGAAGAATAATTAGAGGTGCTTTGTTTGGGAGCAGAGGGTGGAGGTGGATGTGGACTTGTATGGAAAAATGGAAGGGGGAGTATGGCAAAACTGGATAGGGAAGAATAATTGAGGTGCTTTGTTTGGGAGGAGAGGGTGGAGGTGGATGTGGACTTGTATGGAAAAATGGAAGGGGAGACAAAAGAGGAAGGTCTCTTGAGTGTTGCTCTTGTCTGACAGTCTTTTGGCTCATCACTGCAGTCAATCCCAGCTTCTCATTAAAAACTTATTTTTGATGATTTTCTGCTTGACCTTACTTTCTGTGCTGCATCAGCATGTGTGGGTGTGTTTTATTGGAAGGTCTGGACACCTGCAGGTGGAGAAGAGGCCAGGGGTCTTAGGGGCTTTAGGATCTCAGCCCAGCTGTGGGGTAGCCAGTGTGGGCAGCCAGGTGCTGTAGGGATCCAAAACTCACTGCCAAACTAAGGGCTGGAGAAGCTGGCAAGGAGGAAGAGCAGGATTTGGAAAGAGCCCCCAGTGGCAGGACAAGGGGGCTCAGGGTCTGGACGTGGCTATTTGGTAAACTTGAATCCCGTGGCAGTGTCTGAAGGCTCCGTGAGTGAGGTGTCCTTGTGAAACTGGAGAGTGTGGGGGTTGTGTCACACTCTGGTGACCTCCGAGAGTGCTGGGCTCTAGTGGTCAGGAAGGAGAGATCCCGTGTCCTAACACCTCCTGGGTTCCACCGCTCCTTAAAAAGTCCTCATGCATCAATGGTAAAATTCTTGGCTAGCTTGTATTTGGCATTCTTACCTAAGGCATGAAAGAATGCTCAGCCTTTTATTCAGATAACCTGTCCTTGCCCACTGGCTGAGCACAGCTGCCCCTGAGAGGAAAATAAATGGAAATCTTTGCTTTGGATTCCTTTGTCAGTGTGGCAGAGCTGGCTGCTCTGCTCTCTGTGCTTCGTTTTCAGCTTCTCTAAAGAACTTTTTCTCCTACTGGGGAAAATGCAGAGCTTAAAAGCTGCTCTTCCTCAGATTTCTCTGAAGTTAGATGAATGTTTGACTGGCATTTTTTAAAGACATTTGAAAAGTAAAGGGCCCAGGAGACTACAGTGAGCCTTGAATTCAGAATAATTTGGAAGGCTTAGAATTTCTTAGAGCTCATCCTGATTTAAACAAATGAGTTAGATTTATTCATAGCTCATGATTATAGTAAAGTCTGATATATATCAAAAATTGTTTTGTAGAGATGTAAAAATTCTGGTATGGGAATTTATCTTAATTTTTGAGACAGTGAAAATAGAATAATTAGATTATTCTGAAAGAATAAATGTGTGATGTGGTTCAAACCAATCGACTTTTGTGCCACTTGGGTGAAGATTATGAGATTAAGCCTGTTCTTACAAGTTCCCTTTTGGAGAGCTATAAACACATACTAGGTAAGATTTTTGCTTTCTCCAAACATTTCTTTAAATTCATTGTTCAGGCAAGTGAAATGAAACACCAGAGAATTTTAATTTTTAAGTCAAATTAAGGGTTGCTCAAGGGTTAATAAATGCCTTATATGTGATGAAATAATTGCCTTATTTATGCTGGGAATTATTCTGGTGTGCTGTGAGCATTCTGTGGTCATCTCTGCATCTGAATTTTCACATTTTAATGGAAGCTCTACAAGGAGGAACCAGTGAGAATCCACATGGTGACAGAGAATAAAACTCCTCCTGAGGTGACAAGGACTGAGACAAAAGTTCTGTGCCTCTGTATTTGTCTTCTGCAAAGTGGAACTTGTCAGCAAGATAAAAGGTAGAACCAGACAAGGGTGTTGTTCTTCCTCCTACCTTTTAGATTATTCATTACAAGGATTTTTCTTTTTTTTTTTTTTTTTTTTTTAAACACGTGGAAATAGTGAAAGGGAGTATTAGGTAAAGTTTTTTGCTGTTGTTCTTCCTCCTACTTTTTAGATTATTCATTACAAGGATTACATGAACACGCTTTTTCTTTTTTTTAATTTTTTTTTTAAACACGTGGAAATAGTGAAAGGGAGTATTAGGTAAAGTTTTTTGTGTTGCAGTAATGATGCAGGTGACACAACCATCTCTCCAGCCATGTAGAGTTCCTTGGGCTTTGCTGCAGAGCTCAGAGCCAGCAGGACTTGCAGTTTCAGCCCAAGAGGAGTTTCATAACCCTCTGTAACAGTGCCACCACACAGCAATTCGACTGCCAGGAACATAATTTCACAAAATACAGAAAATTGCACAGAAAGAGGGCATGATTGTAATTTAAGGTAAATGGTGCAGATAAATCCACTTTAATGGATCTGTTTAGTGTATGCAGAAACCTATGTACTTCATTATTTATTCTTTTTGGGTGGCTGATCTTTGGAAGAAGAAATGCACAACTCTGGTTTTGTGGTTCAGCAACACTGGGTGCACAATCTCTCAGTTTCTTTTTAAGGTAAATAATTGCAGTCCTGGAAAAGTCAGGTCTTATTAATAAACAAGGCAATTCAGACTCGCAGTGCTTCTTGGATTTGAGTTAGCTAAATTGTCTCAGAGCTGTATGAAGTCCCCTGGGGGACTTTCATTTGCAGAAAACGGTGCCAACACATGTAGGGAAAAAGCTGATGAGGCAGAAATGATCATCACCTGCTAATGGCGAGTGGATGGAAACCAGACTGGCCTCTTAAGAGCATCGCTAAGATTTTTGAAAATCCTTTTGAAAGTCCTTTTGAAACAAGGCAATTTCCTTCTAACAGAAATTATGGAACTGCTCGCAAGCCAACGTGACACTGGAACACAGCCCACCAAACCAAGCAGCATGGGCTGTCCCCCGGGCTGCAGTGCAGGCAGCTGCTCCCTGGGTCTGCTGGAGCCAGCCAAGGAGTCTGCAGCCCCTGCAGCCCTCCCCTACTGACACCTTCACCCTGCACCCAGCACAAACAATTCATCTGAAAGTGGGATAGCAAAGATACAGACACAGTATTCCCAAAGTCCCCATTTCTTAGCCTTGCTTTTTAACATTTTGTTACCATTCTGTATCTTACCTGTAGAAAATCAGTCATGCAAGATGCTATAGATATAAGCAGCTGTAGCACTAATAGAGTCTCTAGTACTTTTTTTTGTCCCATTGGTTTAGAAGTTTCATATAAGCTTGGGTCATAGCTGTGAAGCCAAAATAGCATTACCACAGAATTATGGGTCTGGAAAGGACTATAAGGAATCTGCAAATTCCCACTTGGTGTAAGCTGAATTAATTTTTGTGATTCCTGGTGCATGTTTTGCCTGGTTTGTTCTATAAAAACACTCAGTACTTACAAAAACCTTGGTTTCTTTTTGGACTTCATTCCTATACCAGTGATATGATCACAGTCAGGACCTGACATTTTCAGTGGATGCCAAGATGCAAACACAGAGTGGTAAATATTTAGTGTTAGCCATTAATAAAGTGGCTTTCTTGCCTGGATTCTTCTTCAGCAAGGTTGAAGGTGAGTAAAATTCTTCCCTAATGTCTCCTCTCAGTTACTGTGATGGGAGTGTTCTGTGCCTTATCCTGTCTGTATTTCTCACATCACAGACACGGGGAATGGTTTAATCATCCCCTTGGTGGCAGGTACCTGAAACAGTTGAGATGTCATCATTTGGCACTGCAATAGTACCTGTACTAAATACAAGTCACTCTTCCGCTCCTTTTAATAATTTCCTGTTGGTTAGACTTCTGATCCCTTCTGTGTGCTCATCTCTCTTCAGTGCTGATACCCCAAATGAGAGTGCTCGTCAGTGGTAAGGGATGGAACTGGAGCAGAGCAGGACTGACCATGGCTGCAGGGTGGTAGATGAACTTTCACTGTAGTGTTCATTTTCAGCAAAGCTGTTCTGAAGTTGCTGTGTTTTCCCCTCTTGCCCAGGTTGGTTTCAACAGCACAGTTATGCAGAGGAGCCTCCCTCTTCCATCACTAATAGTCACCAATGAATCCATCATCACAGCTGCAGGAAAGACCCACATGAAATCTCTGGCATGCCTTGTTGTTTGGCTCTTAATGCACTTTGATTATGGCTTTACAGCCAACTGGCAGAGGTGTTACAAAAATTTAATAATTTCCATCTTCAGAAAATATCACAAGAAAGACTCAGAGAAGGTGTGTCCTGTGTCCATATTCCCATATTACCAAGGCACATAACCTGTTCCAAAGGAATATTAAGTTGTTTTCTTGTGGCTAAGATGGAGCAGTAAGCAAAAGGCAATATTGTTCTCTTGCAGAAACTGAGGGGCAAGGAAAGTGAGTGAAAGCTGAAAGGATGCTGTAAAGAAAAAAGATCTGCTTTCTGGCTGGGGGAGAGATGATGCAGTGCTTCCTCACTGTAGGTAACTGGGGAAAAGTGGAACAACTGCCCTTTCTTCACCCAGGCATGACTGGAGTCGTTAGCTGGGCAGGGAAGGGGGGAACAGAAAAGGGGAACCTTCAGCTGTCTGAGCTCAAGCAGGGACACGGCTGCTGTGCATGTGACGGGTGCAGCTGAGGTGTCTCTCAGGTTCCCAAAAAACACCCTGAGCCCGAGGGAGCCCCTCTGTTGGGGTTGGGTTGGTTTGCACTGGTCAGGGGTAGGGTGGAATCTTGGCTTCCGTCGTGCCTCGGATCTTATCACATCCTGCTTTGGCCACGGCGCGTGCAGCGCAATCAAACTCAGCCAGGCTGCTTGAGGCTTTCCACCAAAGGCACGTGAGAAAAGCTCCCAGGAGCTCAGGCTTTCCCTAAACTGTGCTGGTAGAAAACTCAAATTTCAGGTTAGTTGGCCTGGTTTTGGAACTGGCATGCTGCGATCTGAAATTCTCTCTGAGCTTTGTAAAATGGAAGCACCTGAGCACCAAGAATTAAATGATGGCCAGCCTGCTAATGCATTGCTCTGAGCGACTGTCTGGAAGGACTGTGTGTTCACAGGGGACTGAAAAAGCTGGCCTTTTTATTTTCAGAAGTAGATCACAAAATTCTGGGAAGCGGCTTGTGAAAATTCCTACCCAATTCTTACAGGTTTTGAATTCTGTACTATGGGTTAAAATGTAGTAGGATTACATTGCCTAGGCTTCTGCTTTTAAATTTAGAGGGCTTTTTACGATTTCCGATTACTGGCGTTAGTAAAGCTGTCATTTGTAACTTTTTGCCTACAGCCAAAGGCAAGCGTGCCTCTGCCAGCTGGGGCAGTTCCACCTAAGCCTGTTGTGCAGGATCATTTTGATTAATAAATGTCTCCAGTCCCAAAATATTCCT